AGGCGTTTTCCTGCAGGCAGGAGAATGGAATACAGTTCAAAGAGGACAGCTGTCAGATTTAGCTTGAAAATAGCAGAAGGCATAATTACAAAGCTCAGGTTTAGTCTGTAAGTAAGAGCCAAGTTTGGTTTCTGCACAGCGATGACTCAGCATTTCATGCAGCTGTGCCTAATGCCAGGTTCAAACTGCACAATGATGATGTCTGATAAGATGGTCACTGTGTCATAAATCCTTGATGTTACTTGACTGAGATACAAGACAGACTACGTTTGTTCAGTGATGAATAACTGTATAATCTGCATGTCATCAGGAAAGAACACCTTCCTGAACCAGAATGTAAACAATGACCCTCTCTGTTCTGAATTTGTGAAAACCTCGAAAAAGTAAAGAAAAATAACTGTGGACACATTCGTCGGCTGCACCAAGAGGACAATGGGAGCTGTTGATCCTTCAGACCTTTATTCACTTCAACATGTGTGCAAATGTGTACTCTTATCGGTCAACCAAACCCAAGGGAACAGCACTAGACTCGGTGGTGATTATGGTTTAGCTGCTTAACTGTGTTACTACAACATGGGCCTAAATTACTAGAAGTGTGAACATCATGAAGGAAGCTCATTCATTAGCACATAAACTGAATGAAATGTCTAAGTTTGTAATCAGCTGTCCAGATCTCCTTAATGTGATCAATGAACCCTCTGTTAGGTCAACCATTGGTTTCCTGAAGAGCTCTTTTAAAGCTCAGTATGGTGGTTCCAGCCATCGCCATCTTGTGCCTGACGCCTCCTAACTTCCAGCTAATCCAAAATTGAGCAGAGATGGAGAATGAGTCGGCGAGTCTTCACGCTTGACTGTCCTGTGATGGTGCCAAGCTTTAGGCCTTAATACAATTCAAGCAGATGAGTAAAAAAAAACTTCACCCACCATTCAGCTGTCATGTATATGGAACTTGGCTACAGAGACCAAACCTGTTCATTATATCAGACGATTAACATGTTTATATCTGCTCTGAATGTAAGCATTTTAACATGGCGGTTTATGGGGACTGACTCACTTATGAAGGAAGCCTCGAGTGGTCATTCAAGGAACTGCAGTTTTTGGCACTTCGATGTTAACTTGATTTTTCTGCCCTTGAGGTTTGTGCTTGTGTCAACATCATGGACAGGAGAGAAGATAAAAATATTCTGACGAACTAGTCATTTAATACCAATGGCATGAAGCATCCCAGGTGTGGCGTTGGTTGTCATCAACTACAACCACAGCATGATAAATTACCTGCACCATCTTCCAGGTCAGGCTATTTTTATACTGATATCGTGCAGTCTGAACCCCACGTTCCAGCAACCCACTATGAGAAAATTCCAACCAAACCTGCTCCTCCACCCTGATGCACCATTTGCCTACATTTATTTAGCATTTGCAGATTATTTATCCACACAAATTAAGGCACTACTTTTTGCAGCATTGGGCGTTACCTGGTTCCAGTTGCTTCAGCACCCACTCCTGGTACCAACGCATAGAGTTGTGAAGTGTTTTCCCATTTTGTATTCCCATTTCAGTTGCATGTTTAATGTCACTGCACTAAACATCCATTGGCACCAGTATGATGAATGACTCTAAATACTACAATACCCATGAGCCTGCGGTGCTACGGAGTAAAGAAGAAGTGGTGGTAATTGGAACATGTCAGGTGGTACAACAGGTAAATTGGGTTTTCACTTGTGTGACGCTCGTCAGCACCTCAGCAGTCGTTAACTTCTCCCCTGAACATTTAATGCAAACAAGCTCGTACCTTATTAAAGGTCCAGATGTTTTGTAACGCAGCTATTAATCATCCAGACTGATGACTGAACTGGGAGAGCTTCATGCCAGTTCGTGGGGTCCAACTGGGAGTCATGTATCATTTTCTATTGGAAAAAATTAATGGGATTTTTTAACTTCCAGCAACAAATGAGTGCTATCAATTCACAGCTTTACAAGAATCCTCATTGCTAAATCCATGTTTTTTGTCAATTCTGTGACCAACCATATGCAACAGGCACAGTTTACTGATTTTTCATTTTTCTGATCGTTTCTTCTTTCCGTTGGCAACCAATTAAATTATCTGTCTGAAGCTAATGAAGAGTCAAAGTGAAATAAGAACTTTGTGTTTTAGTTCCTGCTGTAACTCTTCTAATTCTTTGTCACTCTGCTAATTAATTTTCATATTACCATCGCTTTAATTGTTTTATGTGCCTTGTTTTGTTTTTCTAACCGCTGTAATTGACTTCCTTGTCCAATAATGTTATCATAGTTTCCCAAACGTCTTCAGGAAAACTTTAAAGGTCAATTCTTTGTCTTTATTAGTGTTTTACTTTCTGCATCGCTGCACAGTGAAGGCTCAAGGTTTAGTGACGTGACACCATGCACATATAAACAAACTCCAGCTTTCAGTTGTCTCTTTGGAACATTTAAAAAGGCCAGAACTTCAACTCTGAAGACACCTAAATCTATAGTCCTGATTTAAAGCTCTCCAAAGTTTTTGCATGATAAGTGGGGAAATAAAGGATAAATGTTTTCCAGGAGCGTAGTGGCCTGAATACCTCAACAAGTATTGATGTCGTGAAATAATCTCTAAGATTTCCAGATAGCTGTGTAACATATTTTCATTGGCTCACGAAGCACCAAAGTTCCTCTGTCTTGTTAGAAGCAGGTTTTTTTAAGGTGCTGAAGATAAATTGGATGCAGGAATCTTTAAAAACTTTTGAGTTATTCTCAAACGTGTTATCTTTACTTGGTTAAAAAGGTCATTTGCTGTCAGATTTGCCTTTTTTTTTTTTGTTTGTTTTTTTTAAATGTCTTTATCTCAACTACCGTAAAGGTTGAGCTGGCATTTCCGGCATTGCACTATCTCCGAGTCAGATGATGGAAGACAATTTCTTATTCTAGTTTCGTCTTTTAGTTTATTTATAACTCATCAGACTAAAGTTGATTTGAATCCGTTTGCAGCTTCTCAACTTTGTCCATTTAACTTGCTTTACGGTAAATAAGTTCTCTAATGAACAGGCACCTGAACCTGATCCTGCTTTAACGCCGCACTAGTGGTTTTACTGTCAATTACACGGAATATTTTACCCCTCCTGGGAAATTAATCATCCACTATGCCGCTCCGAACATTGCAAAAGTTTAAATTCTGATTTATAAACCCCCAGCCTGCCAACAGGTAACAAATTATATTACCGGTGGCCATGATGCGCTGCCTCCACCTCTGCATCCTCATTTATCATCCTATCATTTAGGAAGAGCACCACACCTTCATAAGAGGAAGCTAACGAGCTATCAACCCACTCATCCATTTAATAGCAGCCGTTTTTTTGCTTACTTGCTACACATTTGAATCGACTCTCTAATTCTGAGCGAATATTTAGCCTCGTGTCGTGTCAGCAAAAAGTGTTCCAAATGTGTCCACCCTGCTGGGTGCCTTTTACATCCAACAATGTGTGATGAGAACATGATCTCACATCTGTTCTCACATTTTTCACTCGCTACTAAAAATTTACTGGAGAGGAGAATAACACTTTGCAACTATTTCTGCCGTTCAAGCAAAATAAAAAAAAAGGGCATAACCTCCTCTAACCCTGTCGTCAGCCTTTCGCCCAAAAAACTGCATTTTGGCATCAGTGTTTCAAAGTTGCATCCCTGCTGCAGAAACAAAAAAAGAAAGACCCAGTGATGATAGCAGAAATGAATTCTTTATTTGAAGCTTAAAGTTTTCTGCCAGACTTTCCAGGCGCTACAAAAGCTTCCCACAGGACCTCTGAATGGCAGCTGCTGTTAATGCATGTGAGGGCTTTTGGATCAATAAAGTCAAGCCTCTGCTCTCTGTGACCTTCCTCATGCTGTGTTTTCGGAGATGAGTGAGAGAAGCAGCGTGGCAAACGATAAAAGAAATAAGATGGGAGGTCGGAGGGGCAGAGAAATCCCTTGGAAAAAAAACACAGAGAAAATAAGCCGCAGGCCTGTCGGAGGAAGATCAAGTGTTGTTTGACTCGGCCAACATGAAAATCAACAAATCATGATGTGAGGAAGCCTTGAAAGTGAAAGAAGTTCAACTCAGAGTGATTAAATTTGAAGAAAAAGGTCTATTTTTTAAAATTAAGTTTTACTTTTCCACTTGTAGTAGAGTTACTTTATTTAAAATTACTTTTTGCTTATTTGTTTCGAATAAGGTGATAAAAGTTAGTCATTAGTTAAAAGAATGTTGTAGTTAAGACTTCTATATTCAATCCACACAGTATAATGTGCAATACTGCAGTCTTAAGATGTTTTTAGGACTGGGAAACACTCGCTTGGCTTTTGCTTACACGTGTAAGCTCACTTGACTTGATTATATTCCAAGAAAACCAATATTAAGTCAAGATTACGACATGCAAAGGGAATGAAAATATCAGGTTGCTATCCCATGATACTGTTTGACCAAAAATAATACAATGTGCATCTTGTTTTCTGGCATAAACAAGCTTCCATTACAAATGGACAATGAGGACAAGTAGATTTTCCTGCAGAAGTAGCTTTCGTAGGTTAGTAGGTTTCTAAAGATAGATTTAATACCTATAAGGAATTCAGAAAGGTTTAATAACAAGGAGTTCTACTCAGCCTATGAAAACAGTGGTATTACATCGTCTGTGGTTCTGCTAGAGCTAGCAAAAAGTTTAAAAAGTGTTCCTAACCTCATTTAGGATATATTTTTGGATCAGGCATTATCAGTGTGGAGTTGACATTTTGCAGACAAGATGGGGTCTAATGAACAGAATCCATTTACTCCCTCATCCTTATAGATATACTACTACAATACCAATACCAACCTGCTTGAGTACCCCTTATTGCTTCAAGTCAATGTAAACTCACATATGTCCAAAAAGGTAATTTTCAGTTTATTTAGGTCAGTTTGTCTCATGTTCCATCTGTATAGTTGTGCCAAAATCTCAACACCCACCAAATAAAATACAAAAACAGCTTTCTAGAGCTTTTTATTAGAACATTCAAAATGAAAAAAATCTTTACATAAAATCCACTGACAAAAAGCAACAAACGAACTTTTAAAAGTGAGATGCATAGATACAGAAGCAAAGCTGAGGTTGGAGAAGTCACTACACGTTGGAGTGGATGGAGGAGGGTCGAGGTGGAAAGTAGAAAGCAATACGGCGAAGCAGCTGAAGGCGCGGGAAGCCGAGGGTGTTCCAGCATCGTTTCTGAGCATGTTCCTGCAGCAGGAAGCTATGTTTGGATGTACGTGTATGTACTCGCTCATTGGGTCCATAAATTTCACCTGTGTCCCACATCTGGTCCAGTTAGAACTGGTTGTTCGCTGCGTAAGGCGTTCAGGGGCTGAGCTGCAAGAACGCATGGGACTGTGTATTCATGTCCATCTGCATGCATGTGTGTTGGCGCAATTATTTCTTACGGTAGTCGTCTGCGTAAGCTCTATGATCATCCTGCTCAGGAAACTGGTCTCCATAGCGCCTCAGTATGTCCTGGAGGCTGGGCATACCCTGTGAGAGTGGCTGGTAGGGCATGAGAGGCTCCTCCTGGCCACTCTGGTAGGGCTCTGTCTCGTACTGCTCCTGTTCCTGCTGCTCGCTGCCTGCTGCTCCCTGGCTGTGGTCCTCCTCGGCGTGATGCTCGGGCTGGGTCTCGGGGTGGGTCTGCTCAGGCTCGTAGCGGCGCAGGCGGCAGTCGCGGTCGTACTCGGGGTCACAGTGTGGGTTGGAAGGCTCCAGGACTCCGTTGCGGCTGCCGTCAGCGTTCAGATGGGGCTCGTAGGCCTCAGCAGGGTAGGGGATGCGGCGGTGAACTCCAGAGCGGGGCTCTGCTGGCTTCACGGGGAAGCATTCACGGTCGTAGCCAATGAAGCAGTCGTAGCCTTCCTTGGTTTTACCTGGGGGGCCCAGAGGGTGGCGCTCCTCCCTGGGAGGCTCCTCATAATTGGGATTAGAGAACGGGTACTGCTGCCTGGGGGTGGGAGGGCCACGGCGATGCATGGCAGCTGCCGCCTCACGGATAGCAGAGAAAGGATCATTGGGGTTAACCTCGGGAGCAGCCTCCATACGTGGAGCATAAGGGTCCCTAGCCTGAGCCTGGGACATGTACCGGCGCAGCATTGCATATGGGTCACTCGCAGGAGGAGAAGCTGGGGCGCTAGGTTGCTGGTACATAGCATAAGGATCATTGACTCTGTTAGCATTAGCATAAGCATCCCTAAACATGGCATAGGGGTCATTGTTCTGCTCAGCAGCAGGAGGAGCAACGCGAATAGCAGCGGCCTCCTCTTTTTCTCCGTTTTTGTAGGCCTCTGGGGGAGAAGAAAACCTGGTGGCAGTAAGAGGGTTGCAGCCTTCTTCAAAAATAGGGTTGCAGGATCCAGGGCCAGCAGGGGCAGGGGGGTTAGGAGCACGGGGCGCCTTAAGGGAGAGATCATAGCAAAACACCATCATGAGACATGATGATCAAGGAATAGATGCAAAACAAAACACAAAGGACAAAAAGCAGTTAAACTCTGCTGAATTGAATCAGTGTAATAATTAAAGCATACCACAAGGGAGGCAGCATAGGCACAGGCAGGATCCCGGGGATCACAGTTGGGGTACTGCAGGTAGAGACCAGAAGGGGCTTTCTGCACCAGTTTGGGTTTGCAGTTGGGGTCTTTCTTGGGGTCGCAGCCGAGGTGGGCATACGAAGGAAGAGGCCCGGCGGAGGGCCCATAGCCATAGGCAGCTCTAAGATGGTACTGCAGACACTCCACATCATCAGCGGAGCAGATACGCAGCAGCTCGGCCTTCTGCTCCTGAACAGTAGAACCAGGTGTAGATATTTTAGCACCACAGAAGCTTCTGTATCTTGCAGTTTGAGGTCATATGTAGATTTTGTTTACCTGTACCATCTGTCAGCCTATTCTGGTGGAATGAGTTTAGACTTCTTGTAGAAAAGAATGCAAATTTAGCACAATAGGTGTTTTCATCCCTTTAATCTCAGATTGGATGCACTGGAAGAGGGATACTGTCTGAATCTTGTTTTTAAAAACTATCACAAGGTGCAAAAAAGTCTTATTTTTTCAAATTCTGTTTACAATCTGGTGGTTTGGAGGTACATCATAGCCTACCGTTGTCTAATAACTTACCAATTTTGAATTTAACAGTCTCTGAAGTGCAGTAAATGTATCGGATAGTATTGCTTTCCTTCATGTAGTTGGAAATAAATCTCAGAATTGTCACATTTTTGGTGTACAAGTGCAATCATCATGCATCATATCCCCCTAAGATCAGCTGATGTTGCACTAAATAAAGTGTAATGGGGTAATAAATTATAAACAAATGCTGTCTAAGAACATACCTTGGAGAGGAAAGGCACTGCGGATGGAGCGTAGTAAAGATACCCCGAGTTGGGCTCCTTGGCTGGAGCAGCAGTGCGAACGTACAGAGGGGCAGGAGCCTTGGCTGGTGCCGGGGCGGGGATGGCAGCTGGGAGCACCAGGGGCAGGTAGGGGCTCTTGCCCTGGACCAACGCCATGTACAGGCAGTAGGGCTCCTTGGTGGGGTCACAGGTTTTTATCGGTGCAGGCTTGGGGGGCTCTGGTTTAGGCCTGGTGGTATGGGAAGCCACGCAGTTTGGGTCGTCGGAGTCAGCGCAGGACTTGTAGATTTCCCCCAGGTGGCGCAAGTAGGCCTTGTAAGAGCGACGTCCCTCAGCACGGTTCTTGTTCTGGAGATAAGCCAGATAGATGCGATCCATCTCCTGGACCTGAGGGGAGGAGCGGTTTATTGATGAGTCGATACAAGACTGTCTTTAGCACCACCTGCCATCGATTGTCATAAAACTTGCACCACTACTAAGTTTGAGCAGCAGAAAATCATTTAAAGGAAAGTTTCAAAACATTCCTGAAGCAAAAATAGCATATTGTAGTTTATTTCTAGGAATGTACTGAAAACAAGGATTCGTAGTGAGTAGAAATGCTGCAGGAGCGGACTAAGAAGTTTAATAAACTTTAAACCGGAATTCATTTTTGACTATTTAGAGGAAATGCAAGCTGTAAGCGCAACACTGACAAACAGATTTTTTTCATTTTTATCTCAACATTCAGCATTTGCAGCTGTGTTTCAGGAAACTTGCTAAATTGAACTTTAATATTGTCATGTTTTAGCTCAGTTTTGGTCTCCACCTTCTTTAGCTGCTAAATGCACCACTGTGTTCACCAGCTAGTTGCTAAATTTGTCTGTCTGATGCTGAATCCTGGCCGTGTAGGATTTATGAAAACCTTTAAACTGGAAAACACCAAAAATTTAGCTGAAAGATGCTAAAATGTTAAGTTGTGCTGAGAATGACACTGTGAGAGACCAGTGTCATGTAACAATCAGTCATTTTACCTGTTGTTAATATAACACTATTAAATAGAACAGCTTTAAAACTTTTCAGAACAACTTTGACAGTGATGTTTGCAGCTTTTCAACACTAGATAGTGTTGTTTCTTACGGAAACGATGAACCTTCATCAGATGAGGTACTAAATGTAGAAAACAAAGTCGTTTCTTGTATGCATCACTGTTCACTTACTGCCTCCTGGTTGCCGTTGTCGGTGAAGAACTTGTACCAGCCCCAGAAGTCCGAGTGCTGCTTGTACCAGCTGATGTTCCTGCGGTTGCGGATCAGCCTCCTGTTCAACGCTGCAGCCGCCGACCTCTCCTGGATACTTTCCCCCGCTGAGGGCAGGAGAGAGAAAGGAAGGCAACGCTGATCCGAGGGCTTCCACACTCCCTCGGACATCAAAGTCAAGGATTTTCCACTGACTTTTCAAAGTTTCTAACAAGACATCCAAGGACTCAAAGCTGTTTTAATTTTAAGGTCAGATATCATAAATTCCTTGTTTTTTTGCTGCTGGATCACATTAGGGATCAATCACAGGGTTAAGTGTTGATGCTACTTTGAAGTGGGGTGATAAATCTGGGTATTAGTCTTCAAGGCCTCATTTTTTAACTTTCACGGTCTTCCACCCCTGGTGGCAAACTGACTTTTTTAGAAACAAATATACATTTAAAGGCAAAAGAAAACACATATTTACCATCTCCTTTGGGCTTTTGCGCAATTGGTCCAGCAGACAAGAACGCTACAAAAAGAGAGAAAAGCTAAATCAGATGTAAATCTAGAAGTTGCTTTCTAGTCAGATTTTTTTTAAAAATACATAAGCAATAATGTGACATTAAACCTCAAACACCTAGAGGCTGATATTCATTAAACACGGTAAGGGTAATTGGCTCTGCCTAAAGCGCCGGCAACTGCAGCTCTTTGTAGATTTTACAGGGGAGCCTGTAACATCAAACCTCATGCTGCGTTTTCAAAGCGCTGTGTGTGCACTTGTGCACATCCGCGTGCGCACACGTGTACGTATGCGCAATGTTTGACCCCATACAGCTGAGGGAACAGCAGATTCAGCTCCGTGTTTCTTTCATCTCCGCAGGGAAAAAAGGCATTAATCCCTTACAGAAGGCAGAGGAAGAGGAGGAGGAGGAGGAAGAGGGAAAAAAAAGTGTGGGAGGGGGGGGTGACAGATGACGGGTTTAAAAAGATCCAGAGGGGGATAATTCAGGGTTACGTGGCGCGTGTCAGAAGTAGAAAAAAAACATCCTGATTATAAAAAAAAAAAGTTTTGATAAGCTTTGATGGATAATCAAAAAGGAGGATGTGCGCTGTAGCGTGTAAGGTCACAGAAGAAGGGGAAGCAAAAAGCAAAGGTAGGAAACTGCAGATGAATTAAAGAAAGAAGGAGTGAAGGTGACTCGAGGTGATGATGATGAGGAGGAGGAGGAGGGTGGTGGGCTCTAAATGATGCTGTCTCAGTGTATCCGCTGTATTGTTTTTTACAAGCCTGTAAAACACCGGCTGGCACATCTGGAAACAGGAGAGCTTTAAGAGGGGCAGAGGAGGAGGTGATGCTGACAGGTACTAATTTTTTTACTGGACCTGCACCGATGAAAGAAAACTCCTCCTCCCGCTGCTGTTTCCCCCGTTTTTAACAGTCTTTAAAAACCATTTTAAAAAGCAAAGCAGAGCCTTGCCCCCCTCCCCCCCTCTGTGTAAATGTGCCAATCATGTTGGGAGCAAAACTGGAAACAGGTGGGCAGAGGAGCAACCTGTCTCCACGTAGAAACATTACTTGTGATATATGAACATCAGAGGCACGCTACGGAGCCACACTATAAGATATGTGATGCACGGTTGAGTTGTGGCGACGTGTCCGTGAGCCGGTCAAGGGCAGTCGGACGAGCTCCGGCAAACCTTGAGCTGCAGATTGTGAAGCTATAACTCTGGTCGTGTTTATTTAGGAGGAGCCTTAACGGGCGAGGTTTGAAGCGGAGACTAAAGAAGCAGCGGAGGAGTGGCAAAATCAACAGTATTTCTCTGCTCAAAAAAAAAAAGATTACGCGAGGCAATTTCAAGGGTTGTAGGTGTCCACAATCTGCACGATTCAGCTTTCAAAAAGGAGGCAGAAAAATCAACGCGTCTGAATAGCGTCATCGAACATTGCGGTGACCTTTGACCTCCAGTCGTGTTGAATTATTGCATGTTTCGTTTTTAATGTCACAATCACGATGCTTTTTGCAAGGTGTATCTTACATAAGCTCCACATTCAGCCATGACCATTTTTAAACGGTGAGGAAAAAGGAAAATCGCTGCCATGTCCCTCCTAATATTTAGGTGATAATAGGTGACATTTTCAATCAATGCATCCCCTTAACAATCAGGATCTGAATGACTCATACTTAGTGACATATCCTCCAATCTGAATGAGGATGTTCTGCTTTATTTTTTTTTAAATTTCATCTTTTTGTAACTCTTGATCAAGAATGGACGTACATTTACAAATAATAAGATGAGCGTGAAATCTCTCCATTCACTTGAATCTTTTATACTTTAATTGTAGTAGTATTGCAGTGATGTGTGAAACCTTTCAGAGCATCTTTTTAAAGGAGTTTTGCTATCAAGAGGAGCTTTAAAAATAGTCTGTAGCTGCTGTAATCTAATGAATTAAGAGCAGTTCTCTTAAGAGTGGACGTATTAAGTAATTATAGCGTGCACATCCACTGCACTAGATGGGAGTTAGAGGTGAGACACGAGAGATTTCAGTGTTTTTGTGCTTTTAGTTTCATTGGAAAGAGAATATTTTGCCAGTTTGACATCAGCTTGGACTGTCTTGATCTTTTTTTTTTGCTCTTTTCTGTCATTTTATAGACTAACAGAAAAAATAATCATGAGTTGCAGTCCTAGATTAAACCATCAAACAGTCCATGTAGCTCCATCTTTACAACAGTAACTTTATCCACTTGCATGCTTTTATTTGAGTAACGTTTTTAATCGGGCATATCTGCATTGTGATGTTGCTGCTTTTACTTTATACTGTGCAGCTGTAATAGTTTGGACACTTGTATTCAGCCATGACACCATAAAACTACACAGTGACATAAATCTGACACACTGACCTCGGTTATATGATGCTACATGTAATACGTGATCCCTGCTGTGTACTCACCAGGCAGCAGCATCACAGCCAGCAGGGCGGTCATCAAGACACCGGAGAAGCTGGTTCTCCTCCTTTCAGCCATGACTCCTCAAATCCTGCTGATAGCAAAGATACAGAAATAAGGAGTCGTTCCTCATTTTTCCCCTCTATGTGCACAACTCTTGCATTGTTGGTATAAAATAAAACCAGCCAGGGGAGTGAAATGACTACTTCATCCACTAGTCCACCTGTTTTCACTAATTTCTCACATTTTGAGCTTCGTTTGTAGGAAGATCTGCTTCCCAAAATGCAACTACTAGACATTTCCTCTCCAATCTCAACCCGTGTTTACCTGGAGCACTAATGAGCCCTGCCTTGGTGTCTTTAAACAAACATGTTATTCCCTGAAGCTACCAGTTGGTCATCGTAAAACCAAACCAGGTGTTTTGTTTTTGAGCTCTCAAACTTGACTTCAACCTGAACTTGAAACTTTGGAAAGCACCTGAAATGTACCAAAGTCAACACTCTCTGTTCTTGCTCTCTTACCTGTGGTTAGTGTTTTTTTTTTTTAAATCAGCGTCTGCGGATCCAGAGGTGGACTAAAAAGAACCGACCCGATGACTCGGCCCACCAGGTGCGTGTCCGTTTGTGTGTAAATGTGTGCGACAGCGAGTCCTCGTGCGCCCTGCTACCTGCTGCCCTTCCTCCAGACTGCCCTGACGGGAGGATCCCACAAGGTTTTAAACCGAGCCAGTCGTCTGTGACACACACAAAAAGGCGCAGAGGGACCACCTGAGGGGGGTCAAGGGCCACCGCTACGAGACGCCTGATTGGCTGAAAGTTTCAGCCAATTGGAGGCACCGTAATTAAAGACAGGAAGAGAGAGAAGGCGGGAGGCCTCGGATTAGAGATGGAGACGTGGTAAATGGGGGTGAAAGAAGTTGCCTCAAGTGTTTTGTTTTTCAATTGAAGACACCTAATAGTTGCTAATTATCCTTTTAAATGTTACAAATCAGACTCTTGATCTGTTTTCGGGACACAAACAACAACTCCTGAAAACAGAAACTACAAAGGGACAGAGGAAAGTAAACGCAAGGAAGTAATGAAGGGGAGTCGAGGTGCCACATAAGCACTTCTCAGACCTCACTGAGGGCCAAACCACAGCTTCTGTCTCACTGTGAACACACACAACACGCAGGCACAGCTGGTCCACACATGAGGAATTTGATAATCTACAGTTTCCTCCTGAGTTTGACTGTGTTCAGGCACGCCGGCCTCGTAAGACACTCAGGTACACACCGGCTTTAGTGGAAAAGCTATAGAGCCGTGATGCATGGTGCAATATCACCACATCTGACTGGATCTGCCTGTAATTCAGTTACAACGTTCAGCAGTGTTATGAGGTTTACGTTCGGACCAGGTTTGCAGGTGGTTTTTATTAGTTTATGCAGAATTTTCACTTACAAAAAAACAACTTTTTTTTGCACTAAAAGTGATTTAACCCAAAATTAATCATGTTTTTCTGGAGAAAATTAGTTTTGAGAGGAAGTATTTTGGGATGTATTAAATCTAGGAAACTCTTCCATATGAAAACTGTCCGTTATGCAAAATTCATTCAAGCACAAAGACTGAACTACGAGTATTTTGTGTACTTTTGGGATTTTTACGCACACTTTTTAAACTTCCTTTCCACCTAAAACTGCACGAAAACTTTATTTCAAATGTGTTTTCTTAGTTTGCAAAATGTATATTAATGGCTAAATATGCAATAAAGCTTTTGGGGTAAAGTTGCTGATTAAAACACTAATAATCACTAAGAGCTGCAGCACCTTATTTCCTATGTGGTGCATCATATTTACACTCTAAAGTTTCCACAATGTAGGAAAAATAAGTAGCGTCCACGGCATGCTTGACAACAATGAGCTGCATTTCACAGATGCAGTTATTTGACTCTGATGATTCATTAGTGGCCAAAATGTTAGTTTGCTGCTGCGTTAAATATTATGTGTGATCAAGGGAGCAATTTCAGAAGCTGCCTGTGATTTGATCGGCAGGAAAAGTTAAAAACCCACAACATGTCTTCATGTTTTGATCACTGACTGTATATAAAAGATGGGCACAGCGTCCGAGACATCCAACAACTTCGAAAGTAAAAAGGTACTCCCACCCTAAAGTATACCCCGCTTTATCATCAGTTTTACTCTAAACAGGAGTATAATTGACAAAATAAACACCATGGTGTATTAAAGGAGACTTTAACCTAGCAGTTGAGACCATAAACTCATAAGAAAATGTTTACTGAGGTAACAAATCAAGGGAGAATAAGGCCATTTTCTCAGCTTCTGGTTGCAAAAAAAATAAAAAATCTCTACCAGAGTCGCCCCCTGCTGGCTGTAAGAAAAAAAAAATCCACGTTTAGGTTTCCTCTGCAATGGCATTGTCTCAGTTGCATTCAAACTGCATGAAACAATCCGTACTTGAGCTGTAGTACACACTTATAGCAAAAATAGAGTATGCAGTATAGAGTGTGGCCTGTTTTCGATTCAAATGTTTTGCTGCATTCTGATGATCTTGTTTCAAACAATCTTCCAACCACTTTAAACTGGTTAATCCCAAAAACTATTAGGTTTTGCAACTTGACTTTCACTCAGTGACCTGTAGCTTTGAGCTTCCTGTAACTTTTAGTGAACTTATAAGGTAACAGTTCCTTGTTTTCCACCGTCTGTACTTTAAATACTGAGATGAGTTACATGTGTGCCATTGAGAATAGTTCAAAATGCACTTTTCATTGTGCTCCACTGCGCACATAAAATATTTGACATACTGGTTCCATCCATCCATCCATTATCTATACACCACTTAATCCTCACTAGGGTCGCGGTGGGGCTGGAGCCTATCCCAGCTGACTTAGGGCGAAGGCAGGGGACACCTGGACAGGTCACCAGTCTATCACAGGGCTACACTTAGAGACAGACAACCAAGCACACTCACATACTGGTTGCTGCTGTTATAGATGGTTCCACACCGTGTTGCACCAAATTCTCTGTGAAAGCCGCATTTTTGGTTGTTTTTAGACACGGTTTAAAAGTATAGTACCTTCATGTTTATAACGGTGTGGTTGAAGACAACAGTTTCTGAACTTTACAGGCCCCAGAGGCCACACACACACTGATAGGCCTACGCAGACATAACGGCACAACAACACAGCACCTACCAACTACATCTGATAGCAATTGAATACGGGCTAGTAGCAGAATAAATCAATGTAATCTCCATCTAAAGTGTAGTACTGACTAAACATAGAGTGTGTAGGAGTGGTAGCTTTTTAACAATCCTGGCTACAATAGAGTATTTCTCTTCACTTTTATATTTTATTCGATTCTGTAAATCACACCACAACCCCCACAACCACAAATCCAAGAAACTTGCAGGTTATGGATCATCAACTAAACGCGGACTTTGTGTCCTGAGTTTGTCCTTAAGGCGGTGCTGCTCTCCAGACTTGTGTCCGAAATCAATCCCTGGTTCACGACTTCCTAATAAAATGAGCAGTAAATTGAAATGAGCTAATCATCATTATTTTGTCTTTATTTTTGTCAGCTACCGAGTCATGCTTCGGGCATTTTTGGCATCTGTAAAATGCAGCGTATTGCACTGTGGGACGGGTAGCAGACGGTTTTCTCATTCCATTGACGACAAATAAATTTGCACACTCAGAATGTGGACACTCCAGTAAATTGGCAGACATTAAATGTAGAGCGGTGTACTGTAAAGCGAGCAGGGACACGGGCTCGGTGCGGTTTTGGTATTCGTGTTGCCTGAGGGGGAGGCATCGCTTTAAAAATCCAGATTAGATGAAAGACTTGACTGCTTGATGTGCACTGATGCTTATCTGTGGCGATTTAAAATAAGTATACGTGCAGTGTTCCTGTATATATATGCACCAGTAGAACTTTGTCTGAAGAGTATCTGACTGGAACTTGATGCAGCTTAAGGTTGATCATAGTACTAAGTGTACTTGGCCTGTCGACCACAAAAGAGACCATCATCAGTCATCAACCTCTCCGATGCCCTTGTGGCAGAATAGGAGCAAATCCCTGCAACCGCTTTCCAGAATCTTGTTAAAAACCTTCCCAGTGGAAGCTGTTAAAGCAGCAGATTAATGCTGATGGTTTTGGTCAACGATCACATTTGGATGTAATTTTTGGGTGGCCACACTTTTTTTTTTTTACAAGTCTCTTTTGGTTTCTGTGGGAAGTCCTGCAACATCTACATCACTTTAAAGTAAATGTGTGGTTTTTAAAGCATTGCTGCAGTTTTAGTAGGTGTACGTGGCCTCATCTCTGAGTTTTTTTCCCTCTGTTTAGGATGCCCGACAGTCTCTGGCTCAATTATTGCCCATCGATGTTTTACTACCCGGCTCTGCACCTGAACGCTCCGTATTTTTCCAACGTTTCCACATTTTTTTCAGCCCCTTTCCTGTCCCATCGCGCCCCGACTCAACATTTAGCGGTCACGTTAACGCTCCATCTCGTATGTAATTACGTTCGCTAACAGGTGTTTCGCGGAGCCCCCAAACCTACAATCCAGCCGGGAGCAGATTCGAACACGACGACGCCAAAACCATACTCATAATTTTCTCTGAAGTTGGAATGTAAGGGATTCTCAGAATTCACAGACACCTGGTTCACCATGACAGCTTTCTTTTTTTTTGTGGAAAACAAAAAGGCTTTATTTCAGTATGGTGCCGAGTGACTTATACAAGAGAGGCTGTACAAATAAAAGAGAAGGTGCAGCGAGAATAAGACGGTTTTCTTCATTTCTTCTATGTACATGTTGACAGAATCACGCAGGTGTTGAGACGCTGTCATCACTGCAGGTCGTCGTCATCGAACAGATCCTCAAAGTCTGCAGACGGGAAAATACAAAAGACAGACGAGAAGAGAACAACGGGGTTAAACTTCATTCAGCTGTTTCCACGGCGCTCCTGCATTCTCAGCTTGTTATATTATATTTAATGACTTCAAACTTCTCCCAACATATGCTGGCGTGTGGGCACTTTTATCCAGCGTGTTCTTTACTTTGTTTGCACTTCAAATGTGGTCAAGCTGTCATGTGCCACCCACAGAAGTTAGCATTCATCCCTCTGAAAATGACAAGGAACAATTTTCACACTGGGAAGCAAAAGATAATAATAAAAAACAAGATCAAATGCAAAACTGTGCTTTCTTCTCTCGCTCCGAAACATTCATTTTACAGCACAATGAGGTGACTGGTTCAGGCTTCACAGATGTGAATATTTGCTGCCGTCTATGATTTAATATCTTTGGGATTTGGGCTCCGGTTCGGACGAAGTAAATCATTTGATACGTCAACTTAGATAAATTGTGAGGGCAACTTCCAGACGATTTATAGCCCAAAGGATGGTTCTATTAATCAATGAAATATTGGACAGGCAAATCAATAATGAAGGTAATCGTTAGTAACAGCCCCACAGGTGACAAAGAGTCTATTCAAGTCTGTAGGAGCTGCCAAAATAAAAACAGGGCGGCAGCGAGGCTCCTCTGCTTTTCACTGCTACAGATGGTTTTATTAGAAGACTTTACGAGGCTCCCTTCGCTCTGGGACTTTTTTAGTGCACCTTGACTCGAGCATCAGCTTTTTAAAGAGCCCGTAATATGCACAATTACAGGTTCATAATTACATTTTTGGGGTCTACGAGATTATGTTTACATGCTTTAATGTTCAAAAAACACATTTTCCTCAGACTGCACATCGTTGCTGCGCCTCTTTTACGCTTCGTCTGAAATTTTAGCTTTAAGGCCCGCCTCCTGGAGAGCTGTGATTGGTCAGCTGGGCTGACAAAAGTGATGAAACGTTGGTTAGATACTGCAGGTCTATGAGTAGTGGGATGTGTTTCCAGCAAGGTAATAACGGTGGACTGGAAGGCAGCAGCTGGTGTGACGTTATGCAAATGTGTTGCATGTTGATGTCAATAAGTAACGGAAGAAAAGTCGAACTTCAAACGAGGTGTTTCAGGCATGTAAGCGAGCGTTTTCTGCAGGAGAGAATAACCCTGCTTGCCGTGGACTTTTTACATGCACATAAACACTGTAACACACTAAATGAAAGTGAAAAAAACTGAATACGGGCTCTTTAAAAAAAAGCCAAAATGTGCCGACGTTCAGTAACGGACCTATCAGAAAATATATTTTTATTTCAACATAACTAACTCATTATTGGAAAAACTAAATGGTTGCCTGGCTACATGATGTCTCGTCCACATCTGGTGATCACAACACCAGATGTTGTAGAGTTGGCTGCTTTAACAGAACCTTTGGGGGAGGAAACAATGCCGTGGTTTTGATGTTTACCGTCACTACTGACCAGTGGGAGGGAGTCACCTAAAAACCTCGCAATATAAAAATGGGGGCTTTCGCTTCAAACAAAGAAAACGTTTTGTCTTTCCTGTAATTATGGGGGGAATTTTCCAAAAACACATGGTTGAACTGTCACCGAACATACAAGTGGAAATACATTCGACACAACACAAAATGATTTGAGTAGCAGAAACAATCTAGGAGGTGTCTGTCTGTTGCAAATTGTGTTTGGTCCCTGATTGCGATGTCAGTTCTTGGCCTCAATGATCTGTTTGTGCACAGCAGTTACATAATTCATGTCTTCCTATACACCAGACTCCCCCTCGGCTCATATAGACTTTTTTTTTTTTTTTTACTTCAGACATCCTTGTGTGAAAAGCTGCGAGCTTGTGGTTGATGTAAACTGCACGCTGACCTTTCAAGCTGTCTGCCCTGATTACAGGACATCTGCACGAACATAGAACGCACTGAAATATTCTTAATAAACTAAAACTCTTCTTCAACCATTTAAATAGCTAATATAGTAGAACTGTATAAAGATTAGTCAGGCACAAAATTTGTCAAAAATGCCCAAAAAGCTGAGCCTGATTCGGCACACCAGGCGTAAGAAATGCTGTCCGATGTCCAGGAACATGACATTGCTGTGTTTGCGGTAATTGGGACAGCTTGCCCTTTGGTTACCCGTAACTACCTGCACATTTAAGAAGTGTAGGAACATAGCAGGAGAGCCACAGCAGCACGGGGGAATGTGAGCGTGCCGTATCACAAAAAAAAAAAAATCGTGTGCGTTTCACACTGTTGAGTTGACCTTATGCTGTCATGCCTAGAGAGCCCCGTTAAAGGGCGACGTGTCACTGAAATCAAACAGTGGTTCTGCATTATCACCCTCTATGACAGACAGGAGCTCAACTCACTGACCTCTGATTAAAAAAAAAAGTAGAGCTTCTGAGATAGCCCTGCATAAAGAATTTTATTCTTTCATGTATTGTCTAGAAAAATATAGAGGGAATGGGCTAATCAGATCCAATAATCAGTATTTTTCTAATTAATCTTTTTTTTTTCCCCTTTTGAACTGATTACTGATAAAACAAAATCATTTGAAAAACTGCGTTCAGATGCAGCCGTCTTTTTTTTCGGTTCTAAATATCAGTTATTGGTCGTCGAATGCTAATAATCAGGATCAGCCCTGAGAAAAACACATCGGCTGAAGTGAACTGGACTCATCCTGACTAGCAGTGAAGAGGAGTTAAACATATTTGAATGACTGACAAAATATCCCAATTCGAAAAAACTCGGCTGCTGACGAATCTCTTGTGCCTCGTCGTTCTTTAATTACCAACTGTCGCTGGTTAAAATGACAGACATCGGATCAGATTAGATTAAAATCAGACGGCAGATTAGATCAGATGGAAACCTAATTAATTCTGTAACAGCGGAAACAAAAAAGTTTGGCTGTTTTTGGTGAATGAATAAAAGGCACATCAGTCTGTGACAGCGCTGCAGAACCACATGTGTGTTTTTGACTCTTTTCTAGAGAAAACCACCGACCGATCGGCTCGTGACGATTTAAAAATGAATATGATGAACTTTATCGCTCTGAATCAGGGGGCTGCGCGTTAGTACCGAAGGCTACGGCTGTTAGATATGGAGCTAATTAACATCTTGCATTTTTTTTGCTGCTGCTGCTCATCTCGTTTTTCAGGTTGGAGGTTGCGAACATTAATTAGGCTGCTGTTAAAGAGGGAAGTGTCTGAGTTGTGGCTATTTCAGCATTTAGGTTTGAAAGTAACTATATTAAATGAAGGATTTGAATTCAAGAAAATGCTGTCATCTCAAGTTGGAGGTTGGTTGTGTTATTTTGGACGCATGCTCATTACGTGTATTAGCTGTCTATTTCTGACTGAAACTTGGTGTTACAATACTTCGAGGGCATACAGTATGAGCAAGCGGGGCCGTCGTGGGACTCGGTTTTAGCAGCGTTAACACCCACGGTGAAGGAGTGCCTGCGTATATGTGTGTGTGGGTTTTAAAGCAGCTGACTGGCGAGGTGTCCCGCTGAGTTTCAGTCTGACACCAGCTATAAAAACTCACTTTACCAGCCTCCTCTTCTCTCGTTTTTTTTTTCTGCCTCTCTCTCTCTTTTTTTTTTTTAACAATCAGCTCTTTTCTTTCTAGGTCATGTGCTGCTGAGCCAAAATTGTTCTGCCGGGAGCCAGTGCTGCAAGACGGAAAACAGATTAGCTTAGTGTTTCTGCGCGTCTTCCGCGCCCGTGTTTACGTGCGCCTGCACATAAACTGGTGTTTACAGGGGGAGCGACAGGAGTTTTCTGAGAGTTAACGTTGGAAGACAATGTGGTTGAAGGAAGGAATAATGGATCATACTCCACTTTCCATGCAGTCTGCCAGTAACCTGTTGTCTCCTCTACAGTCGTTCATATTACTGAAACAATACTGGCACATCTTGACTTTATTAATGTTCGTGAACGCAATATTTGGCACGTTATAAAGTATCCGTCCATCCCTTTATCATTGAAGGAACTTCCTCGTTGCATGTGAACGCGGTCTTTCATGTCTAAAATCTCTAAAGTCTGCGTACAAAGGAGGGCAAGGAAGCAAACGGTTCACGTACTTTAACTACCTACAGACACAGGAGGATGTTTTTCTTGCTTGCTCACACTTCTGATATGTTCATTAAGTGGACAAAGCAGAACGTTGTTGCCATGTGGCTTAATCACATTTGTCTGAATCATGAGACAACTGAGGGAATCCAAGCTGCTATTGTCTAAGTTTTCTCCTCAATGTCGGCAGCTGGATGCTTAAGCTACTCTGTACAGTCGGTGCAGATTGAATCAGTCAGACAGAGAGGCAGAAATCGGCGCCTTACCGTTAAAGAAATCTGAGTGCACTGCTTTTTCATTGGCTGCCAGGTCCATTAGCAGGCCGCTGCTGCCTCCTGCCTGTTAACACACAACAGTACAACCAGTTTTTTACTACAGCAGAGCACATACACGCACAGCATTACAATGATTATAGATAATAGGGTGATTAATAATCAATTAGGGTACAAATTAAGAAAAGAAATGAGAGGATGGACTGTTATTTCTCATGACTGCTACTCACTAGAGAGCATTACGACTGGGAGGTAAAAACTTGTAATTGCATATTGTATGCTATAAATTCAATCTAAGACTGATTATGATCTGCTGTCAGCATTGGATAACAGCAACACTGTGGAAGAGTTTTAGGTTTGAACAAATCAAACACGGTGTTGATGAGAGGCAGTTGATCACTAAAATATTCCCGATTTATGTTGTGGTGCTAAAAACTGCAGCGAAAAACAGTTACAGATACTCATTTGACCTGACAACCTCAGTACACCATATTGTTATTTTTTTAATTTTTAGAAAGACTGATGGAACAATTTCGATAAGTGCTTTACAATAAAACAGGTTGCATGAGTTGATTAAAAAAAATAAAATTGTAGATGAAAAGCAGGTGCCCTTCTCACGGAGTTGATTAACAATAAGACCAGAAAATCTCTAATTAGTCCAGGAAGGGACTCTAACTAAAGTCATTCACACAAGTTCACTTGTAGCCTTCCCCCCTTGTGCTCAAAAATGTATTACTTTAAATCACAAGCATATTTCATCATTTTATGAAAAAGTCGGGCTTTGACTCCTGCCTGTTTTTCCCCAAATAACTTGAAGATACTCCAGTCACGTCGGATGGATAAGTCCATGACTACCTGGATCTGTTTGTCATTTTTCACAGTTCAGAGGTCTGCCTCCTGCACACACTTTTAGAGTTAAGGAGTGTATTTCTTGTGCCACCAGTTGGGTTGTTCATGAGCTAAAGTGTGGTTTGTTGTGTGTGGGGAAGGAAAAGCAACAAAGGAAAATTCAGATTTCATGACCCCAAGAGCAGGAAACAGGATTTAACTTCCCCTGAAGCCAAACATTTTCTAAAACACGACCACACAGTTTCCAGTTTCGTCTTCAAGGCACTAAAAGAGTGAATTGTAGTAACTAAAGTGGTATTTGGACATGCAGCTTTTGAAACTGGCAGAATTTTAGACACAAATGTCATCTCGTGGATTGACTTAAGAGCTAGATTTGATATATTTTCCTACAAGCTCAGTTTAACTGGTGTCATTTAGCTCTGACACATTGTTGGGACGTTTCTTAGTCCTTCTGGCTGGTCTGACTCCACTGCAGGTGATATAGACTTGGGCTTGATTACTGAACGCTGTAATCATCCAATAGGAAGCCTTGTGTGAGATGTGGGAACATGCATATAAGGTTTTTCAGCACACTATTCTAGTTTGGCTCATGAGCTGAATGGTGGAGCTGTGTGAATAAGAATGAAATTAAAGGGTTAGTCTGTAGCTTTTGGAAGCAGTGAAAAGCTTTAAAGACTATATTAAGGAGTTGAGGTGCTTCTGATACGACCCAAATACGACAGAAATGTAAAAAGACACGTCATGCCGATTCACTCCAAACATTCCCACACTTTCAACCCGATGTACACAAAGCTAGCCTCAAACATTTAAACGCTAGCGTTATATTTAAACGCTTTCAAGCTAGCTAGCGTTAGCATGTTGGGACGACTGTGTTATTTTAGCTCCAAACTTCAGAAACCAACCTCGTCTAGATCCACGTAGGGACCCGCTCCCTCTGGAAACATCTCGTCCACCGCAGGCTTCATTCTGCTCCGCTAAAAGTTCAGTAGTAGGTCGTTGATGTGACGTTTGTAGCTCGCTAGGCTAACTAGCTGGCCGGTGCTCGTAAACAAACAGAGTATGTGCGACGCTAATTTGTGCCCGGCTTTCGCTGCGAGCTTGTGACAACAGTTCCGGTCCCCTCCTCCAATGACACCGCGAAACAAATTGGGAAATAATAGTAATATTACCAACATTAAACATTTAATGTTATGAGTTCATGTAAATTAAAAACCTCGTAGCAGCTAGAACAAATTTCTGTTGCCAATTAATTACTAAATGAAAAAAAAAGGTATTTACTCCACTTGAACTCTGTCTTGCCAGAAACATTTAGAAATATTATACACATATAAAATAAAATTCCGCCGGAAAAATATCCTTGAAATTGATTTTTTAGAGGCTGTACACTTTGAGAAATTACTACTACTGCATAAGCAACATGTGTGACTGCAACTTACCAGAATTTTCTAGAATATTCTTGAAAACAATTTCTTGGTAAATTTTGTTATTCCCTTGAAATCATCTTTATTTTATTTTAACAAAACAAATGTAGGGAAAACAAAGGTTTCAGGAGAAAGAATCTAGATTAAAGGAGAAAAAGTAAAATAATTTGAGATCTTTACATACTTGTAAAATGTTTTATTTATTTGAAACACATTACATGAAGATATTATACAAACCTATGATATGGCTATTTACTCTAATTGTGTTCTCTAGATATGACCATGCTACAAACTGTGGTATAGTTGAGAAAAGAAAAAGAAAAAAAGCTTAAGTGTGTGCACTCCCATCACTTCATATAATTTCTTGCACATTTTCCTCATTTTACATATAATTCCATTTTTTCCTCATAATCTTCCCTTTCTTTTAAAGTAAGAAATGACTCTCTTTATTTATTCAAGACATCAGATTCCCTTTTCTTTCCACCATCTACCAACTTCTTCCGCTCTGCTCAGTGTTCGTGCCCTTGGTTGCTCTCGTATCCCAGGGTGTCCCCGAGGTGCTGGTGGGCGAAGAAGGCCCGGGCCATCTCGTTGATGTGGTTGTAGGCTCCGATGGATCGGAAGTATTCGATGTAGTTCCAGAAGTCGGAGGTGGAGTAGGGCCAGTAGGGAACAGCTGGAGGTTCTGAAAGACATGCAGGTTATCAGACAAGGACGGGCCACAGTTTAAATAGATAATCAGTGTTGAGACAGAGCTGACAGTATCATGAGATTTTCAGCATTTCACACACGTGATTTGTTGATGTTTTGCAATTGAGCTGACTTTTTGGTCTCTGACTGTTATAGTTTCAGTAGTTAAGTCAGGAAAATGGATTTTAAGTCTTGTTGAGGAGTGTTTTAACACTTAAAGCAAGTGTCATTTAAATGTAATGGCAATACATGAGAGGTATTATCTTGGTGAAAAGAGAGCAAGAACAACATTTTCTACACAAGAGAAGATGAACCATGACTCCAATTTTTTTTAAATTAGAAATATTGCTGTTATTATTTATCTCAGAAATGCAAGGGTTCATATCTCACAGAGAAGTTGCTCACTGATAAACTGAATATTAAATTCCTTAATTCATAAATTCGTGAAGTTCATTTGGCATTGTATTTAAATCATATTTAAATGCACATGTAGTTTCCATTAATATGTGAGCGTTGATGGACCTACTGCAGATTATTTAATACTCATTTGACAAAAATGACTTGCTCAACTTGCTGCCATTTATTAATTTGCACTTCAGATGCACATTTTTGACAATTATTAGATGTTACAAGGCCATATATTCCTGTCATCAGGATGAGTCCTGAGCTCCATCACGGCTGTTGGGATGTTTTTATTTGTTGATATTTCATGTCAAGTGATTTTTTTTTTGTTTTTTGTCTCAAATCCAACCCAGCATCTCATCTGCTGGTGTTTAGCATCTCTAAATTCAAACGTAGGCTTCTGTATGTAGAAATATTTTGCTTATCAGTTTTGAAATCCCAATTTAACCCCTGGGTCTTGTATTTACATTCTATCTACAGCAGCTTTATGAGTTATTACAAAAAGTTTTGATGCAAACTATAAAAGGAAAACTTTTGTCACAGGGCTGAAGTAAAGCAAACATGAAGCAAGTTGAGTTCATTCACTTCTAAAAGAAGATTAGAATATTATTTATATCAAACAGTACCTCCTTCTGGGATGACTCTGGCCTCTGTGAGGAGGAGGAGAGAGGAAGAGGAAAAAAATAAGTTAACATTGCCAGCATTCCATGCCTTTCCATGCACAAAGACGGGATTCAGGTCCGGAAAACTGAGCTTTCTCCCAGAGGACTGCAGGGATACCTGCTCCCTCCTCAAATATTATTACTGTCCACACACACCGACACACAGATGAACAGTCTGAACCAGAAGGAATTCATCGTGCAGACAGAGTCGTCTTTGTACACAAAACAAATGCTCTCCTATAGATGCTGTCACATGTCAGGATTCAGCACTGTTTTGATAAACAGCTCTACATGCACATACATCGGACTTGGTCTTATAATCTGTAACTGTATAAATAAACTGCAGCCACAACATGCCAGCTCATTTCTTTGAGTGAACAAAAATACAGAACTATTATTATTATTTAGAGAATAAAAAGTAGAAACTCACCGCTAAGATGACAAGCAAAGAGGCCGAGGAGAACGCTGAGCCACACCAACAGCTTCATCTTGAGCTCCTACATGAACAAAATATTCCCATCATGCTCCAAGTTTTTTAGTCTTTGCAAAAATCTCTCATTCAGAAATGATTATAAAGTAAAAACTAAAGTGAATGCATATCAAACTTTTTATAAATTTTCTTGAGAACAAAGTCAAATTCTGCAGATGTTTACCTGTAAATGGTTTGTGACGCCGTGCAGAAAGATGCTGCTGCTCATCTGCTGGTTAACTGTGGTCTGTGGTGTCGGAGGAGGAAGAACCAGCCGACCTGCAGCTAACACACACACACACACACACACATACACACACACACACACACACACGCCTGGCCCAGCTTACACTGTGGACTTTATTTACTCAGAAGTTTCCAGCTGGTATAAAATGTGTTTTTCTTGTTGCACTCGCTGCTTAAAGAACACATCTTCTAAGGGATTATTCAAAAATCCTGATTTGTTCTGATGTGTTTTTCATAACAAGGTTTAAATTCAGAAAGTTTCTCCAAACCACTCAGCAGAGTGTGTCGTCATTATTTACTCTGTATTTCAGTATCAAATGTGCCTGTTTACTTCTGCTTCCTTTCTAATCCTCCTCCTGTTAATGGAGTTTAATAGTTAAAGCGAAGAAATGAAACTAAACCATTAGTTTTATTTGTGCTGATCATGGAGTGAAATCAAGTTAACTCTTGTTATTCAGCAGCTTGACCTTGGCAGAATTCATTTTTTCTCCAAATTGATCTATTTAACAAAATACACAGAATGCATACAGATAAACATGATTCTGTACAGATACGTTATGCAGGAAATGTTAAGTCGGCATTTAAATTCAGTTTAAACAGTCCAACAAATAATTTGATGAAGCAGTAAAGCAGGTTGTGTACATATGAATACACATCTGCATTATCAACTTCTTAAATATGTGCTCAAAGATGGAACTTTTCACAACGACCTCAATTTTTTCATTCATATTTCAACTTACCCGTGATCATGAAATGGTCAACTGATGGATAATGTGCAAATAATTGGATTTTAATATCTTGTAAGTTTGCATGGCTGCTCCCTCAGCCAGGTCTCTCCTGGTTAAATATTTTTATTCATATTATTAAGAGAAAAAAAAGCCCAACTTGCACTTTCTAGGCGGTTAAATGTGCCTAAAGACGTCGGCTCACCATTTCAGAAATCATGTAAATGACAACAGTTATCAAAGAAATCAAGAAATTGAGAAAATCACCTGCAGAATGATAAAAATGTTCCTTAGTCTAAGACGTAAATAACAGCTTTCTTCACTGTTGGAGACGAGGAATAAACAGATTTTCAATAAAATTTTATTTAAATGACACTTTTTATTCTCTACATCTAATTATTACTGCGTAACACGAAAACAAAATTGACCAAACCACTTTTTTTTTTTTTTTAAATGCATCTTTAATATACACAGGACACTCCCAAGTTCCTATTTTTTCCACCAAAAACTTGCTTGTTTCACGTTGTAAATAATACAAGATACACGACAAGACAAAGTAAAACAATATATTCAGTTGGTAACACTGCTACGCTCAGTAAATAATAGATTTCTGTGGGTGTGTGAGTTCACTTCACCTTTCGTCTTTTACACACTGAGCAGCTACTGCAGGATTAAAATATAAAAATATATTTTAAAATGATCTTTGTATATCAAACATTATGGCTGCTGTGAGGATTCAGAAGAGGTCGTTCTGCACACAGCACGACACCTTCTTCAACGACAAAGTCTCCATCAGCTCCTAGTTGTCCTTGCAGCCCCTCTGGTCTGTGGCCTTCATCCTGTAAAGGTCGATCCCCTCGTTCATCAGCAGCTCTCTGGCGTAACTCACCGTCTCGTAAGGCAGGAAACGCGACCGCCCCAGGATCCAGGCGTAGTCGACGTGGAACAGACGGAGGATGTCGATGCAGGAGTAGACGACGGCCAAGCTGGTGTAGTCGGTGGTCAGAATCAAGTACGGGCTGTAGGGGGTAACTGGGACAAGAGGTCACAGATACAGAGGGGAAGACGTTTTCTAAAGCAGTTTAGATATTCATTTATTTAATAAATCATCGCTGGTAACACTGCACTGGATCCCTGAATCAAATGGAGCTGAGTTAAGGTCAGTTTAGGTCTGGCCTACATCACAAATGCTGCCTTATTTCCCATCATGAGCCCTTAATTCCTCCACTGCTGGCTTTCCGGCTAACAGAAAACTGGAGATGCATCTATATTCTGGCTGTGAAATAACCAATCCAAACATACTATAGAGGTAGGCTTTGCTGAAAGTAAAAACTTAAAAACTTATTTTTTTCACTTAGCTTTATTCTAGTACCTCCTACTACAAAAGATGAGAGGCCATTCTACTTTTACCTGCGAGCTTTTTAAAGTTACTGCTTTGACTTTTTTGTATTTTACTTCTGCTCTACTTTTTAACGGTAAAGCACTTTGAGCTGCAGGTGTTGCATGAAAAGTTACTTGCAAGTATTGTAAAATGAATGCAATATATCAAACTGCAATGACTCGTATAATAATAAAACCAGTAAAACGTGCATCTGTCACTTTTGATCTGTGATGAAAACTCATTAAAATAATTTTAAAAATCTTGTTGCTTTTACTTCTATTGCTCAAAATTAAATTGTAGTCAAATTAGTTAAGCTTTTTGTTGACAAGAATTCACAAAAAAGATTCGGAAATGTGTGAAATCAACTGGACAAAGGTTTTTTCCCTTTGTCTTCCATAAAGCTTTGACTGGTGAAGAACACTTTCTTTAACAGGAGTCACAAGTGTCCTGATGGCCTCCCTCACTAGTCTCTCTGTCACTCTGCCTAGTTTTGGCAGCTTTAAATGTTTTTTTTAATGATGGGTTTAATTCATTCTACGGGATATTCAGCGAATTAAAAATCTTCTTGTATCAATCCTCTGACTTATGATTTTTAATGACTTTTTCACAGAGTTGCTCGGAGGGTTCTTAGTCTTCATGCTGTAGTTTATATCCAGGAGTACTGATTCACCAGTGACTGGACCTTCCAGATAAAGGTGTCTTTATACCACAATGACACTGAGACACATTCACTGCACTCAGATGATCTCAATTTTACTAACAGAGTGGCCTTTAGCACCACCTGGCTACACCTGTGTTGAACAAGGTGAGTCACTTTGAACGGGTTGAAAAGTTATGAGATCACCTTTTTCACATTTTAACTAATTGACATCACTTTGAGGAAATCTGTTTTCACTTTGACATGAAATTGTCTTTTTTTTTTGTTAAATTTTTGTCAAAAAAGCAAAAATAAATTAAGATTTAATGTTGAAAAGCAGGAAAGTTGCTCCTCTGTTGAAGAATGTTACGTAAACCATTCAGGTTGCTGGTTAAATAAGAGCAGAAGAGTGTCATCAGCATAGTGATGATGTCAAACAGCACCTGTGTGAAGTTCCAACATGCTCACAATCACTCGTCCTGCAGATTTAGTCATAAATTAAAGTAATGGACAGATGTTGTATAACACAAATGTAATGGCACAAAAGGAAAAGTCAGCTGATCACCAAGCTCAGCAATTTCACAGCAATCTATCAGTAGCTGTTGACCTATTTCAATCTCACCCAAAGTGGACTGCCGAGAACCATGAGACATAAACCTCATCAGCTGTACCAGTGATGTAACGTCTTAAGTGGGTTAAGAAGGACAAAAACATCTGCTGAGATCCAGAAGGACGAGAATAAACACTGATGCAAGGCTCTCAGAAAGACGGACTCATTGTCAGCGACATTACAAATCGACTGACGCCACTGTGTCATCCTGTATCAGCCCATGTTCATGTCATTCTGAAGGCATCTAACTGGGATAAGTTCAGATGAGGTCAGCGAAGACAGAAACATCAGCTACACGTGATGCAAACTGATTTGTTTTCTGCACTTTTGTTTGGTTTTGTGATAGTTTTAAAAAAAGAAAAAGCAAGATAAAAGTTAAAAACTAAAAAATCCACAACAAAGCAGAACAAAAAAGAAGAGCAAGACGTTCTAGGAAGATAATAGAAACATCAAGAAGATAAGGATGATGGACTTACAGTATGAGAAGCTGACTCCAAGTCTGGCTGGTTCTCGCATGTCGTGAACCACTGCTGTTCCCTCTGCTGTCCTCGTCTTGTTCTTACTGAGACACACATGCAAAAACAGGAACATTTTTAATTCAACTGACTACACACAACAGGAATCACAAAGACAGAACCCCTCATCTGAGCCTTTTACAGAAGAAGGCTAGCAGTTTCCCTTTGTTTCCAGTCTTTATGCTAAGCTAAGCTAATGGCACCAATCTAATCTGTAGTTGAGCACACAAGAAAAACTGAATTTGCAAAGAAAAGATGAACTGCTTTCATTCTAAAGCAGATCATCTGACACTGAACATCTGATCAAACACAAAACAGAGTAAATAAACAATCAGAACCCGTCAGTACTCACTAGAACTGAGCGTTCAGCACCCGGATGGTTCCGTCTTTCCTGACGGAATAGTTCGCCTCGATGCACTTTCCTCTCGCGAAGGAAGCGGGGAGCTTCTCGATCTCATACCACCTGCCCAGGTACTGTTAACGGAGACAGACGGTTCATTCTGTGCAGCTCACCGTGTGCTGTTTGTGCACATGTACGCTTGTAGACGTGCTACCTGTTGGAGGTTGAAGCTGGGCTGCAACTTGGGAGTAGGACAGGCGCCCCAGTGATATGTCTGAGCCGAGATCAGAGGCAGCAGCAGGAGGAGAAGGTAGACGGCAGACATCGTTTCTTCAGGACAATCACAGAAACTAAAGAAGAACGTTTGCAGATGATGGGTGATGCTGCTATTTTAGTATGAAGCCTTCAGCGGTGCACACTGAGTCAGCTTTGGCTGCAGCTGAAGACAACAAATTTGAAACTGAAAAAAGAATCTGCAGTCGGAAAGTAGCTGTAGCTGCTTCTCATGGTTGTTTGAAGCCACCTGCTTGAAGCTACATTAGCAGCAACTAGCTTTGACACACCGGCAAACAGGTAGCAGTCGGGTTGCATTGTGGGTAATGTAGGCAGCAGGTCTTCACATGGAAAAAGTGGAATAAAAAGAACAATATTCCTGCTTCTGTTGCAGCGGAGCACCAGCTTAAAGAAATAATACACGACACACCAGCAAATAACTAACTAATTTAAATCCTTTTTCATGTTGTTTAGAAATAATGGACAATAACAATGAAGCTGTCAATAAATAATAAGGTTTCAAAAAGTCTGTCAATAACGAGTCAAAGTTAGGAGTTTATTTTAAGATTAATTAAGATGTATAAATAAATGCCTCATTCAGTAATTTCCAGAAACATCCAGAAGACATGACCTCTTAGGCTTATAGGCCTTGTTACACCCTACATGTATCTGCAATTGTTCAGTCTTTACTCTAATTTTAAATAAACTGCAGGTGCAAAGTCCAGTAACAAGTCTTGTAACTAGTCTGGAATCTCAGAGAAAACAAACAGCAACCAGGCTGCACTGTGACTCATAGAGGCAGCAGGTTTTAACATGGAAAAGGTTAAATAATCATAAAAGATGACCTTTCTGGTTCTGCTGCAGTGGAGCATTCTTCAAGAAAAAATAAGAATATTTCAGCAACTGATCAAACGTAACAAACCATGTAGCTCTAAATAAAAATGTAAACAGTTGAATTCATGAGAGATATGTGTTATGCCAGATTTCTATGGTGATATTTGTTAAATATTAGCTTCATTTTTAGTTAAAATAAATTTTTGCTGGAACAAAGAGAAATTTATTGATACTTTTCAGACGCAAAACTTTTCCAATTTATATAATTTGTGGACATTTTTCACCATATTGAAGATCACAACCAACAGGCCTGAATGTGTTTGATTGCCGGACATGATAGTTCCAGATGAAGAGTTCAACCGTGCAGTGAACACACGTTCTTATGCAACTCAGTGCACAGAAAAGAAGTTTGCGTGCCTGAAATTGTTTAGCTTCTATTGTCCCTTACAGACATGGTCGAGTGGGAGTTGTTGGCTTTGTGACATGAGATAGCAGAGAGAAAACTCCCTCTACTTTTGTGTCTGTGTACATCACATGTCGCCACACTTGTTCTGCAGGTTTCACACATGCTGCCTGTTCACAGCATTGTATAACAGTTATATTAACAGCCTGTATTTACTAGTTTTGAAAAGAAAAAAATCAGCATATTGTAATGGAAAAAGCTGTGTAAATGACCACAGTAAATGCAGATAGTAGCAGATGATAACAAGTGGAGAACAAGTGGCAGAAAATAATAAGTTTTGACAAAAGCTGTATATTAATAATATTAATTCTACAGAAACATCTGAGCCCTCACAGTGCAGTCAGAGTGTGAATGCCATCAGCTGTGAGGGAGGGTGTCCTACCTGGGATGGGTGATGCTCTCAGGTGAAGCTCTCGGGATCCACTGAGCGTCTCGAGCGCTCTCTGCACAAACACAGGCTCGCGTTCACGTTACGTCACGAGGCAGCTCGTTAGTTAATTGTGATCATGCGCACATTCCCACCACGTGAAAGCGCTGACACCGGGATACGACACAAATATATTTATTCATGCAGCTCGCACTGACTTAATGCTGTTTTAATTTGCTTTATTGCAACCATTTAAAAAATAATACAAAAATTAAAATGTTTAATGGTTTATAAGCGCACGTGAAGCTCATCAGATCACGTTTTATGATTTATGAAATTTCCATTTTTCTTAAGGTTGCTATTTAGGGAGATACACCGCATTCACGAAGCAGAAAAAAACAGCAAAACTTAGATTCTAATATTGCGTTTAAAGTCTTCAATGCGTAATTAGTACATGTTACCATGGAAACTATGAGTTGTGCTCACAGTGGACTGCATAACGAGCCCAGTTTTTCTTTTTTTGTAGCTTATATTTTCCATATTTAAATAACATAATCACGCCGAATTGGTTATTAACGACTCATTTTTGCTTTGCAGCATTCACTTTATCCACAACTGTCACTGAATTACTTTGATATTTGAGAAATCCTAAAAAGTGGTTTATTCTCAGGCGAGTTCTGCAGGAGTTCCCATTCCTGCCTCATTTGTCAATAAGTAGCTGCAATATAGTCGTACGAGTTAAGGACGGCTTTTTTTCTTTCTTTCTTTTGTACAGTAGGAAGGGTGAGATTTTATGTTTGTATCAACTTCTAAGTCCACTGAAATGTAAATTTGTTACTGCAAATGAGCGTCAAGATATCATTGCTGTCTACAGGGAATTCCTGATGAAGCCAGCAGATGGCGCTAAAGTGAAGAAATACTTCACACATACAGCAGGCTTTAAATAATTCCTGTATTATTGATGTGTAGTGTTCTGTCAATAAACTATCATGAATATTTTAAGTCTTTCGATTACAGTCCAGTTGCTGAGTTAGGAGCCTAATGGGAAAGAATACTGCTGGAGAACATATACTTCAGTTATATTTCTTTGTAAACGATACACAATGTAATTAAAATGTTAATAGAAAGCCTCATTTAGTCATTTAAATATATTCATCTACTATTGTTTCAATTCTTTATTTCGATTTCAAATAAATTGTAGGTGCGAAAATCTGTAAAAAGGCTACAAACTACTACAAACGCATACTGTGTGGTGGTACGATGACTACTTACAGGGTTGAATAGTGACAGGAAATTGAGTTTTGTCACAAAATTGCCAAATCCATAAATTTAAACCAGAAAACACATTTCTAATCATTTAACTCCTGCTGCCATCTGTCAATTCTGTAGTTTTATTTAAACTGAAATATAGATTTTGCTCGCTTGTGATCTGCTAAATACGGTAAAAACACACAACGAAACTATTTTGCACTCCAGTGACTCTCATCATAATTTAAACCAGACTTTCTCGTATTTCAAAATGATGGAAATATGCAAATACAGAGTGTGAAGCGTGTGGCTTTATCAATTAAAAACAAGACGAATGTGCCACGAATAACTCAGTATTCTGGCAAAGACTTAACCTAAATCATCCTGGTGTCTATTATTCTTCCCAGATGTTTCTACGGATGAAACAATGAGACCAAACAGACACGACGATCTAATAAAGATTATTTATTTCCAGTGTTTGTTGATGGGGGGGTTGGGGGGGGCGTCACACCCATGTTTTGCTGTACACAGGCGAGATGTTCACTGTTGGGCAAACATTGTCTCATGCAGTTCCAAAGATAAATCTGTTGAGTTTTTCCTTTTTCTCCCACATTTTTTTAAGCGCCCATGCATTTTACTGCACTTTAAAAACACAGAGGGGGGGGAAAAAACATGAATTATCGAAACATAAACATCGACATAAAGTTGATGTTGCTATGAGTTTAACTAAGAACAAGAAAAAATCTGGAATGCCTGTGAGGTTATTCTTTCCTAAAAACAAACGTTCTCATCTGGACAACTGTCTATAAAACAACAGTTTAAAAAAAAAAAAGAAAAATAAAAGAGGCACTTCTTTTTCTTCTTGAGATAAAAACAATATGTAAAAACTTTTTTTTTTTTTTTTGGACTACAACTGGACAAAGTTTGGAAATAAAAACTACTGTACCAAGCATTACATACTATAGTATCAGCATTTCATTATTGTTTTTCAGTCTTTTATTTGATAAAACTATAATAATCCTCCAGTCCCTCAAGCTAATATCTGGCTGTTGTGACTGTACTGTGAAAAAAACAACAACATAGAAACTTCCCACAGCACCCAGCTCAGAAAGCAGCCCTCACTTATTTCCACGTACTTCAAGTACAGGCGAACAACAACAAAAAAAACAACAAATACATATTGTTTTGAAAAAGACAGTATTGTCACAAGCAACTAGTGTTAGTCCAAAAAGAGTAATACATTCTTCATACCGCTTAGAAGAGGAAGAACCGAACCATGATTCCTTTAAAAAAAGAAGAAGAAAAAAAAAAGGCTTCCTCTTGCGTTCCTCAGTAATACTCAAGTTGACCCTTTTATTAGTGCTGTAAAACAATCCTCGTTTCTCATCATGTCAACTGCAAAGTTCTTGCGTTAGTAGAGTTCGATCCTGCAGGAGACTGTTTTGTTTCCTTGTCTGTTCCAGTATGGCCAGCAAGCCAGCGGAGTTACACACATAAACATCTCTTCAGCATTATTCCAGTAACAATCATGAGAGCCTATACACAGTATGTACAGTAGATACATAAAGTATACTTTGTAGAAAAAATATTGTGCAGTAACCGTAGCTAAAATACCCACATTCGTACATTTACACATTCATCCTGGTTTTGTTTCCCGCCCCCTCCCGCGCACACTTCCGGACAAGACCACACTCTTGCCGTTTCACAGATACTGGTAGAACCGTGAGCGGACAACTTGTGCTCCAGAGAGTTTGTGTGGGTGAGCGTCTGCCCCGAGGGAGGCTTTGTTTTTGCCCTGCAGCCCGCTACCGTTCAGCTGCTCTCCCGCGATTGGCTGAGCGCCCGGGGAGGCCGGAGGTGGAGGTGTTTCATGGGCGGCATCCTGCGCTTCCGGATGGTCGTCCTCGGGGACGGCTTTGGGCGCGACCTCGCCGCTCGACTCGGAGCCTCGGCACCGCTCTCTGGCGATCCAGTCCCGGATGGAGAAGTCCTGAGAGGAGCATCTGGGCTTGAGGCGGTCCAGAGCAGAGAGTTCGGCCGCCTGGTCCACGCCGCCCTGCTCCCTCCAGTCGTTGATGACCGCCAGCTCTGCGAAGTCTCTCTGGCCGCCCATGGTGTGCCTTCGGCGGATGTTCTTCTTCTTACCGCGAGCGTCGGGAGCTCGGTTCTTCTGGGCGAACATGTCGTCGGCGGATGTTCGTAACCTGAACTTGAGCCGCTCGGTGATCTTGAGGTGCCAGGCTGGCTCGGGACGCTCCGACTCGCTGCGTGAAGACGAGCTGAGGCTGCTGGTGGATCGCCCTTTCTTCATCACCTCCAGCACTCGAGACAAGCGAGTGGAAGACTCCGCCCTGCCTTCGCCGCGCTCCCCGCTCCCAGCAGCACCCTCCACTGAAGATTCACTGTCTGTTTTCTGTCTCAGGGACCACCTTCTGGAGAGGGTGTCGCACTCGATCATCCTGTGCGACGGGAAAAGGCGCCGTGTTTCCAGTTTTGGCGTGGTGCTCCCCTCGGCGGCACCTCCGCCTCTCGGCTCGGTCTTCTCCTGGTTCTGCTCGGGGCAGGGCGTGGACTGGCTGCTGCCACCTCCAGGAGCAAACACCGGGAAGTCGCTCTCGCTGTCCGTCTCCATGGGTCGCCCCTCGCTAATGAGCTCGCTGCGTTCGTCGTCTGCCTCCTCTCCGCCCTGCAGCTCCGGGCTCAGTGCGCTGGACTCTGCTCCGGTCAGGAAGGTGATGGAGGAGGTGGTGGAGTAGTCGGAGGTGATGGAGCTCACCTCTGCTCCGGCCGACGCCCCTGCACCTGCTCCCAATCCGACACATGCAGGAAGATCAGGGGAGGCTCCCACGGTCCACTTTTTAGGTCTCGATCGTGGCACTGACGCTCCAGAGCTCATCGTCCCGAGGTCAGAGGTGTTTTCATCCAGCTGGGACGGAGGATCGGACAGGGAGGACTTCCCCTGAGGAGCTGCTTGGTAGCTGATGTTGGGAGAGGCGGAGATATTCGGGGATGGGGAGGGGGACGGGTGTCTGGACGGAGTCTTCTCCTTCAAGAATAAGGAGTTTCTGTGCTCTCTCTTGGCTTTAGGTGTGAGCTCCACAGTTCTGCCGTTCTCTTTCCTCTCTTCTGCCCGTGCTTGTTGCTTTGCGTTGGGTTTGGCGTTGGGGCTGGGGCGAGTCTCGCTCTGCGCCTCAGTCTGGTGGTTCGGCTTCTGGCCGGGGATTTCCTTCTTGGGGAACACAGCATCCAGATCGTCATCTGAGCTGCTAGGCTGCGGCTTCTCCTTTGACTTCTTTCTTTTGCGGCTGGCTGCAGCAAAGATGGAGGAGACCAGGAGCTCTCGGCTGCACTGATCCTTCCCTGAGCCCCAGGAACCCTGCAGAAAGGACAGGGACAAAAAGAGAGGAAGCAGAAGAACACCAAAATGAGTGATACTGAGAAACACAAAGAAGGAGACCAACAAAAAAAACCCTTCACCCCTGCCTGGAAACTTAAGTCTGTACTCCACCTGCTCCCAGGAAGCACCACAAACCAGAGAAGTGGACAGAAAGAGGAACATTAGCGACGACATTAACAGGGAGCACATTATTGTTTCCATGCTGGAAGCAAAAGCAGGAGAGGCGGCAGCACAGCATGAACCGAAGCATCCCCGCGAAGAGCCTGAACGCTGCCATGACTGGTGATAAAGCTGAAGAGGAGCAGCCAGATAACAGCAGTGCAATGATGAAAAGCACCTGTTTGGGTTTTTTTGTACCTCATAACAAGCTAATGCATTCTCCTGAGCTTTGAGTATCAAGTTTAATGCGTCACTCTATGAAAGATTTTTTTTTTTTTTAAAGGTGAACTTTAGACATGAAAGGCTGCATGTACAGGTTCCACCAAATTACAAGCATGTTTTTTTCTTTTACAAATCTCTTTCTGTATCTACTCATGCAAATAGTTTTGTTTTTATTTGTCTAGTTTTTGAGGCATCGAACCCTGAGAATGTTTTGCGTCCTCACTAATATTATGAATAGATTTTGGGGTCACAGCACTGAGAAGTAAGAAACAAAGAGGTTTGTGGGTTATCTGGAGTAAAAAGCGTCTAACACAACAGAAGAAAGAAGCCAATCATCTGCTTTATAACTGCTGAACATCCAGCCAATCATGTTGTTGCACTCATGCAAGCTTGGTGCTGTAAAAGTGCGTACGCTGCGTAGAAGCTAGGCACTACTGCAATACTTATGGTACATCATCTTTGTTATTTCTGAGCGATATTTAGCACAAGAATAAACATTTACCTTTATCTTAAGAGGCCACCTGGAGAAGGGCTGCCGCAATTAGTCAACATAATTAAGGATGTCGGCATCAGTATTTTAAACCAACGCATGGTTTCATTATTTTCTAGAATGCTTCAGTTCATTGTCATTGTTTTTTTTTCTCTCTTGCTGAATGAGAGTTCGACTCTGTTCAGTGTAAAAGTTTGAAAGACCCAAAGCTTCACAAGTATGAAAGTACTGAGAATGACCACAGAACAAAAAGATGGTTCGTATTACACAGTAGCACAATGCACGGACACCTGAAGACAAAACATACAGGTGATTCTCTGGAAGGCGCATCGCCAGAAAAGGCAAAACTGCAATTAGTCTTGTCTGTCCGTAAAGCTGACAACCCCAAAATGAAATGAATGACTTGATATTTTTCAATCTAATCGTCAAGATTAATCAAAAAATAGTGGCGCAGCAGAAAACAATGGTGCTTGTTGTTGTTGTCGAGTTTAATTAATCAGCGTCAAGCTTCACCTAACAGCATCTATCCCAGAGTACATACTTCCACTCCCCCTAAAAATATGCCCTTGAAAGAGGTCCACACTGAAAGAGGTCAGAAAACTCACACTAATCAACAAATTAGGTTGTTTCCGACTGCAGGATCTTCCACATTAGTACATTTTGGATAGTCTGATGTAAACTTTACAACAAAACAGTGTTCACAATGTCTTGTTGAGGCTAAATGATGATGTTAAGGTCAATTTAAGAACCAAAATCCAACACTGCACTATTGTATAAATGGGGAAATTGCAGATGTATCACAAATTAAAGTGCATTTCATTGTTTGTGATGGAGGCAGAATAAAGGGATACCTCAAAAGCTGAGCACAAGCAACCAAAACTATTTGCGCTGCTAGATACCACTTGTGATTTGGGTGAAACGACTGTTTGATTTACAGGGTAAGCTTGTTTGTCGCTGGTCTCTTCCTACCTCCTGTTCTCCTACACTATCAGTGGCCACTGAGACACTGGACACACACACTCACCTTTGATTTAGCTGAGTCACTAGTCGGTGAATCTGCAGGTAAAAGAGAAAAGAGAGACATGTTAGATGGCTGTAAATCCCAGACGAACACATGTAGGAGGAGGTGCAACATGAGGGGGAATGAACCAGAGAGAAAAAAAAAGGAGAAGAGAGAACCATGTTGATGAGAGGAAGCATGAGAAGTGTGAGAACATCGGATGAGGCCGACGACAGGTGAGCACACACATGAGCAGACGACAGGCCATGCTGCACACAGGGACAGATGAGCTCTATGTTACACTCAGCTCCACGTCTACCCGACATGTGAAACTCCTCCCAACTCTGACACTGTCAATGTCCAAGTCGAATGCAGGACTACAGAGAGTCGGAAGATGCTGTCGGCAGCTTCCGCGACACTTTCTGTCGGTGATTCTGAGTGCAACTTTAGCAGTGACCACATTTAAAAGCAGCGAAGAAGATCATGTGCCATGCAACACAACGGATGAAGTTGTTATCCGGTTATAAAGATGTGATCCTGTCATAATGTTTACTTGAATCTACTGCCCGAACATGAGCTCCTGTCCTGATACTGAAACTTTCTGAAGCTGCACTTTGAGGAAAATGAACTGTTTCTGGTGACAAAAGAGGCACAGTTCTCAAATGTCAAACACGTTTGGCTTGTGAAGTGTTGAATAAATCTGTACGCACAACCTGTTGTCATCGCTGTCTTGCAAAAATCACAACCCTTAATCTCTCTTGAGCTGGGAAAGTCATTCTCTACTTTGTGATGGAGCATGTTTCAGATTCTTTAAGTGAAGAGTAAGGTGATGATGTGCAAGTCAACTGGTTGGTGAATATTCTTATTAGTTGGACAATCACCAGTGTTACTTTCATACTGAGAAAAAACACATTTTCACACCTTTGACCTGAGCCAACCTGATGGAAACTACTGGGTCCACCTTATTTTATTAAAAAAATCAGCTCCAAACTAACTGACACTGTGCCAAAGATATTGTTGGCGTTGCTGTATTTTGTTCAAACCAAAAAACCATGAGTGAACTCTGCAAATAGCAGTTTGTTTATCACACCTCAACAACCAACATGGTGAAAAAACAGTGGGACAATGTGTCTACGTTATACTCCTGTGTAGTTCTTGTGCTGGGAACACCAGTTAATATAGTTCTACTTTGAGAAAACATATGAAAATAGGCAGCTGGTGTGTATTAAATGAGTAGATTTCAATTATTAAAATGCTACAAATACCAGATGGCAGGTGGTTGATTTAATTAAGAGAAAGAGATAATGTGCCAAATATTTCCTCCGCAACCAACTGATTGGTTGAAGAGTAGGTGCGATTTAATGGTCTAAGGCTGACAAACACATTTCTGTCAATTAGAGCCGCACGTAACGATTACCTGTTGTTCCAGATTAATCTGTCAAGTACTTTCTCGATGTATTGCTTGGTCTATAAAACATTTGGTAAACAGAGAAAAATGTCTGTCACAGTATCCTAGAATCCAAAGTGACCTCATCAAATGTCTTGGTTTGTACAATGTATAGTCCGAAACCCAAACAAATTGAATTTAATGCAAAACCGAGAAAACTGTCACATTTGAGAATCTGAAGGAAGCAAACTTTTTTTTTTGTTTTTTAAATGAAACTAGTTGCTGATCAAGCAAAAAATTGACTTAGAGGATCACAAAAAAATAATCGCTGCAGCTTTACTGTCCATACAAGTACACGTTTGATACCCCACATTACAGACAGACGATACAAAAGTGATTTTTTACCAACGAAGCAGCGTGAGGTGACATGACAACAGTGACACAGTGATGACAGAGACGGCTATGGAGGAAACCAAAAAAAAGAAAAATGTGACAGGGGGGTCACAGAGGGGCTAGCTATATGAAAAGAGAGGACACTAAATGAGAAAGAGAGTGTGAGCAAGGAAAACCTATAATCACCTGCTCTGTAATCACATCTGCTCTTATCATCCTTGGTCTCTAACTAAAATTTGTGTTTGTGTGACATAGCCGAGCCCCCCTATACACCCCTTGCAATACAGATGATGGCACAATATGCAAGTGCACACTGACTGGTGACGTAGAAACCATACCATGCTATCTCTCCTGTTGGCAAGCTTGCGAGACAGTGAGGAGAGACAGCGGAGAGCCTTTCAGACAGTAGCACCGGCCTGTGTTAGGTATACTCTGATTGAAAACCCACAACAGCGGACGCTGTACAGTACCGTGTAGCCGCTTCGCTTCCCCTTTTCGTCACGGTTTCTTTGTTTAACGCTTGTTTTTTTTCTCTTTGGCATTTCTTAAAAGAACTGCGGGTTCCTGCAGACTAGGCAGCTACACTGGGGGCAACAATCCTCCTTCTTCCTACAGTTCCAGCTGTCCATCACGGACATTATAGAGTCCATCAGTGACATCATGGTGTGATAGACTCCTCCCACTTGGCCTGTGTCAAGATCAGTATGTGTGAATGCTGGGAAAGCCTTTAGGACACCCGACAGAGCCTCACTAGAGACAGAGGAATCAGAGGTCGCCTTTCACTGTAAAAACATCTATTTCTGACGTGGGAAAGAACATGCCGTATTAGTGCAACAGTAGGCAGGATAAAGGGGGAAGGAAAACAGCCCGTAGGGGAGTCTTAAGGGGTATTAAGGGGCAGAGGGATGATTAAAGAAAGAGGAAAAATCTATTAACTGTAAAAGACTAGCATATAGCGAAGAGGGCGAGAAGATCTATTAAAGCAAATGAAGAAGCCAGACAATTTGTTGCATCCTTTTAGGGATGCAGGGAAAATTGCCCACTGAAACCCACATAGGCATTTGGACTCATGGTTAGCCATAGACATTTCTATCTAATGGCAACTGCCAAAGAAGCAAAGGGGAAGCTTGGCCTAGGGAAGAAGCAGCATAATCATCAACATTCGTTACTAGGTTCAACACAACCGGTCCCTCTTTGATCACAGTGCGCAGCAGTGAAAGGGTAGAGAAAGGTAAACCCACCACAGAGTCGGCCTGCCAAAGGCAGCGTGTTACCTGATACTTCACCCTGCGATGTGCCCGTACGGCCGATGTTGGTGAGCAGGTGGTCGATGTTGGGGACGGGCTGAGACTCCACTGCGCTCTCCTCCTGGGACACAGTCTGAAAGGAAAGCAGAGTAAGAGAGCACAGTGAGGATGTGGTTCAGGACAGACGTCTGCAGTCCTAAATGCTGAAACACAGCACAACTGTGTTTTGCTGCTTCACTATGACCAGCCACACTGTTTAGCTCACAAACTTTAATCACAGCTCTCAAATCAACAGGCAAAAAAAGTTGTGCACAGTTCTCAGCTGAAACATAACTGACACATTTCACCATAGGTTCAAAGTTGAGGCTATATCTTAAAAAACTAATTAAAAAACAGCCTGTTTCCATGCTATGTAAGGATAAAGGGGAGGCTACATGTGTGCAATATAACCATAGCATCTAACATCAATAAGATAACAGTAAAGGAGGTGAAAGGCACTATTTTTCCAATCCTCCGTCTCTCTCACATTGAAGGACAGTAAACTAAACTAAATATGAATTCAATTTACAATGAAATGAGCTCCTATCCATGGCAGTTGTCAAAGGCAAACTCAATATGGGAAGATGGTGCTTGTTGTGACTACGTGGGCTGAACTGTGCTTCAAAAGGATGCACGATTATCTACTTGGGTCAGACTTAGTTTATACATTTGCACACATTGAGATAATTGTTAAATACACTAGATGCAGAGGTGCTGTATTTTCTACCAAGTTTGGACTGTTAGAGTCCTCTTTTTTTATTCTGTCATTTAGCAACACCTGTAGGCTCTTTTTTCTTCACTGTTAGAAAACGTCTAAGCACCGCATAACTTCACTAAACCATATGTGTCCTCTTCATTTTTATTTAATAGCAAAGCTGGGTCAAAACAAGTAAAAATCATCTTGTGTCTGGTTTAGTTTCATTACAGAACCCAGTTTGTTTTCTATGTGTAAAGACAATCCATTTTATTTTACATTTTCCATGACATGATGTGCCTTTGTGATTTTGGATTAACCATCTTTTGTTATCACATTTTGTTTTTTTTGGGGGATGTTTTCATGCTCCATTTTGTGAAGAATAAAGAACTTTGAATTGAGCTGAACGAAACATGCTATGAAGAGGAGAGAGACAGAAGAAAACAAGTTTATGGCAGTGATGCCTGTACCCACCACTGGCTCTCCGTTTCCATCTTCAGTGAAAAACCAGTCATACTGGAAGAGAAAAAAACACAACAAATTACATTTTTGTTGATGTGGGCTAATAAGTGACTATTAAAAGATCCGGCACTCACATTTTGAATGAGGGTCTCCACTATCTTGTACTGGTCCGGCATGTGTGTCACCATGTGGGTCATGTTGTCCTCAGTGGTGCGCACCAGCGTGGGGCCAAACACGATGGCCAGGTTCCTTGGTTCCATCTAACACACAAGAAAAAACATTTTATTATAAATCCTCCTTAAGTGAGACTAAAAAAAAATGTAACCAGTGAGTTAAATACCTTATTTTTCTCAGAGTTTTCGGCCACAGTTTTTAGATGAGCTGACAGGAACTTGAGGGTCTCATAATGATGATCTGGTAACTCGTGAAGCTGTAAGGAACAAAATTGTCTTTTCAGGTAACAGAACTCCAACACATGATATTAAAAGGGTGTAAAAACAATAAAATGAAAATGAAATAAATAACAAAGACTACTCACCAGCCTCTTCAGCACTTTGAGTCTCTCCACTGGGTCCTCTATTCTGTTGGCCTCGATAAAGTCTGTGTACCTGTCTGCAGGATCAAATAACTTCAATTACTGAACATTTTCTCAGCTTGCAGTTCTCATTTTTGGCCACTAGATGTCACTAAGAATCTACTTACCATTGGTGAATAATGGCTCAGGCAGTTTGCGAAAGAACGACTTCAGTAAACTGCTGATCACATTGAGGTCCCTCCATTTCTGACAAAGAAAATATTTAGACACGTGAGGAAAAAACATTTGCATATCACTCGTCTGTTGCACTGCTACTGGTTGTTTGTAATGCCGGTGATCCAGAAATACAAGCTTCACCTCCTTTTCTATTCCTTGATGTGTCAAAACGTGATGCATGGATATCTAATTTTAAAGCCACATCGCTGGCAGCAGCCCAACTATCTACTGATCTGGCAAGCGTTGAAAGTCCTTTAGTTTTGCATACAGCACATTAATTCCTAGCGTGAGGCGCCAAGGAGAGTTTAATTAAAGCAACAGTGGATCGATAACTCACATCGTCCTGGATATCGATGTCATTCATGCCCTTGTTATTGAGCTCCTCCTGCATGTTGGAGATGGCGGCGTTGTTTCCAGGGACTCTGTAGATGCCTGTGTACTCCAGACCTCTCTCCTCCACCAGCTTACAGCAAACCTCCACAATCAGAGGTACAAACTAGAGGGCAGAGAAATGAGGAGAATGTTCTAAATACCTGTAATGCTGTATGTTTTAATTTACACTAATCTTAATTACAAATGCAATCAGCACAAACCTTGTTGCACTGTGCAGGAGGACAGTCATCCAGTCTCACTCCAAACGTGACTCCAGGAGACGGTTTCTTCTCGAAAGGTTTCCTCATCAGCCCCGGGATGCCCTTCCTCCACGTCCCTTTATCCTTGGGAGGACTGGTATCATCTGCATGCACAGGGAAGAACGCAGGAGAGCATGAACAGAACGCTTCAGGCTTGTTTATTAGGGACATTTTAATTTCCCCTACCGTACCTATCAGATGACAGCTAAAGGTTAAACAGGTTTTAATGCCTCACAAAGGCGGAACTTCTGGGGGGATGCAGCAGATACGCTCTTCTCTGTATTTCAAACATGTGCATTTGTCCCCTTGATAACAACATAATGCCAAAAATGTACTTTGAAAAGCCACTAACATCACCAATAGACACAGAATGCGACTGATGGGGTCAGGTCTTCAGCACCTCGTCTTTTTTTACTCTCCAAATATGAATTACAATTTTCTACAGTACATGCAGGGGTTTTGTGAGCTTATATTTATTCCCCTGTATTATAAATTGAATTTTGCTATTGCATAGTCAGAATCAGAATCAGAAATACTTCATTGATCCTCCAGGGGAAATTGTTTAGGATCAAAACTCAAACATATTGAACAGGGAGCAGCTTAAATAAGTTGCTAACAAAAAAGTAGTCAAATAATATGTTAAGTAAGAAGCTGAGAGTAGTAAAAAAGTACAAAAAATGAGCAAGACTGGTGTCATTTCCACAATAAAATGATGCAGAAAAGGCATAAAATGGTGCAGAAAAATTCACCAGAATGCAGGAACTTAAATGTTTGATGCTCAAAGACCTCCAGTTACTGTGCTCCCCCCCAATAGTCCAATAAAACCTACTTCTTCATCTTCACACTGATATACTGTCATGTGTTATTAACTATTTATTTAATGTTTATATATTGCTTACACATGATAAACAGGAGTGAAGTGCTTTTTTTTCTCTACTGGTATTTTCTCTTCTTATTTTAAGATATAATGAGTTCAGAAGAGACACAAAACATGTAAAAAGTTCCCTCTTGTCCCACCTTTGTGCATGTTCTTCTTCTCCTGCTCGGGTTTGGGTGAGTGTGGACTTGTGGCTTTGGTCTCTCCTTTGCCTCCCAGCAGCGTCTGTCTGATGCTCAGCGACTGGCGTGAAGGTCTGGGCGACGGCTCCGTCTTGCTGCCTGTCGGACTGTGTGAGACATGGACATGGACCCTAAATCCACAGCTCTCCAATCAGATGTAACTGTTCTACATCTACTTTGTGGGTCTACATCCTCTGCCCACCTACTTTCTGTTGCTCCCCTCCCTCTTGGCCTTACCTCATCAAGGTGTTGTACTCCTTAATCTTCCTGCTGATGAGGTCATGGCTAGTAAAGGCTGCGTTCTAAAAAAAGGAAGGAAGGGGGGAAAACATTAGGACATAAGACACAATAGATGCTGTTTAAGGCATCAGGTGAGACAGTTCACCCCGCCTTAGAGGCCATGATGTGTCTTTATATAACCTGCTGCTATCGGGTGACACAGGTAAGACCATTGGAATGCCACAGTATGGACAGCGTGGTTAGGTCCTCAAAAGAGGGGAAAGACTGGCTTAAATTTCAAGAGTAGAGGGTGGAGACCCACCTATTTTAAGACGAGGAAGAAATATTGAATTCAATTATGCGCTCAGTTAGTGTTACATCTGTCAAAGGTCAAACCGTGAAAGTGGATTAAGTCAGAGCAAAGAAAACAATGGGTCTGGCTGGAGAGCATGTTTATATATTCCAATGCTTCAGCAAACTGGACAAACGAGTAAAAACTGTTTGTTTCGCTTTGAAAAAGTGCCAGCTCTTCATAAGTAGATGCATGTTTGCAAAATGTGACTATTCACAGGGCTGCAGCGAACAGTTACTTTCATTAATGATGCATCTGCCAATTACCGTCTCCATTAGCTGGCTAATCATTTAGTCTGTTAAATGTTACAGAAGACAAATAATCAGATTTAAAAGGTGGAACTTGAGCAATTTTGGGTGATTTTGTTTTAAAGAAAAAACACACACACTATGACCTAATTATTCATGTAACAACACTCCTAAAACGGTGACATCAGGCTCCCTGCTCCACTACATTTGTGGGCAACTTTCATTCACATTAATGCTACACAATAGTCAAAAGAATTTCATGTTTCAAGTTTGATGGTCCCATAACATGCTTAATTGATTAAAAAAATAAACATATAACGGCAAGCTGCATCAGAAAATCTTCTGATATAATGTGTCAGGAACTGTTTTACTTGTTAGATATGTGCATCCTCTCAATTAATCTAAAAATTATGCAGCTGTTTTCTGAGCTTAATACTTTGGATTTTGTCAGGTTGATGGTTGCACAGATGGGAGAAAGAGCTCTGCAATTTTATTCTGTCATTTAATATATGATTCAATTAACTTTGCATTTACCTTATCTTTTCCTCACATTCTTTATGCACTCTTAATGACTTTGTGAAAATAAATCCTACGGAAAACCTCCACTCTATTTCATTTATTTTAACAGTTAATTGATTATAGTTTATAATGGACAAAAGTACCAACCGTGAAGTTGATCTTTGACCTTTTGGATATAAAATATCATCACTTCATCGTCATATTTTATCAGATTTGTGTGAAATGCTGTCGTGATTAGCACAGGAATTCTTGGTCACTGTGATCTGTTCTAAATCTAATCAGTTCATCTTTGAGTCCAAGTGAACATTGCCTCAGGCCATGGTTGTTTATAAAAATGTTGTGCGAAAGCAAAACGGACAATGAGTGCTTTTCATTATGCTAGCATGTTTCCTCGCGTCCTTCACTCTTGTGTCTTAAGTCTTGAAGGATGTAAGCGAGAGATGTGAAAAGGAGAGGAGCGGAAACTGCCAGTTTGGAAATCCTTCATTTCATAGCATCGACCTTAGGCCACACAGGTGCTTATGACATGGGGCACAGCTGTACCACCCAGGATGGTGCAGCATTTATGTCAAGGCTGCTTGATAAAACACTTGAGCGTAAGATACACCTGTAATTCCTCGCTCTAAGCTCCTCCCAAAGCCTCCCGTTTCCTCGAAGTGCATTTGAGTAATTGGAAGATTCTCCAAGAGGGCGGAGGAGGAACGATTTCTGGGCCACGGGAGGGAGAAGAGAGGGCGCGAAGAAGCACAAGACAGTATAATGAAAAGCATTTACTGACTTAGACGAGTGGAGGATCTACATAAAGAGCCTGAGGCGGTTGACCTTGCAAGAACTACTCAGCTGAACTGCCTCAGCTGCCAAATCATACCAATAAAATGATAAAATTCAAACTGTCAACATGAAGATGAGGTGAACAAGGTGATGTTGGCAATTTGTTTTTATGATTTGAGCATATCCAGACTCTAAATTCTTCAGCTATCTCAGTCAGGTAATTTTTACACCTTACCCAGACAACCTTTCTTTAACTGATAGTGTGGTTCCTACCTCCTCATCCAGGTTGCTGTTCTCTTGTATGACTCTGATCCAGGCCAGCATGTCCTCTCGGTCCTCAGCCTGGAACAGGTACTCGCAGTCCGACGTGGTCAGCCTCAGCACGTTCTTACGCTTCGTGTCGCTGTAGGAGATGTCGATCAGACAGGCCTTGATGCTAATTGGCAGGGGCTCGTCCACGGCCTGGCAGTTGGCATGAGCTTGTCCCTCCTTTTTGTCTTTATACAAGCAAAGGTAGTGGCCCCTCAGCACGGCGTACATCTGCTTCCACGGCCGCATGCCCCCTCCGACGCGCTGCAGAAATAGGCCAAGAAGAAGAGGTGAGCTTAACAAAGCGAAAAGGAAAGAATCGAACTGCAACCCTTCCTTTCAGTAACGTTAATAACACTCCTATTGTTGGAATCGCAACACATAATTACTGCCTCGAGGACAAAGCGAGACCTCGCGCAACGGGGTCAAAGGCAGCCGTGAGTTTGAACTGGTCGAACAAGCAAATCGCAGCAGAGACCGACAAAAAAAAAAGAAAAAGTAGGTATCGTGAAACAGGGACAGACCTGTTGAGGTTAGTAAACCAATTCATAAAGTAGGTCAAGCAATGCTTATGCGTGTCCTCACGGATGAGCAGGTTTGTGCTATATTTTCTGTGCCAGTGTGTTAGTTACGTGATGTAGAGGCAGCGCACACCTTGCCCTTATCTGTGTGAAGCTGCTTGAAATGCAGCAAACCCTCCTTGGTGGCGTCACAGAAGACATCAGAGGAGGAATCTCTCCTGGAGCCTGAATCTTCCGATGACCTGTCCACAGCCTGGAAGAAGAAACATAAAGCTTGTACTGGTCCTCTCTAATGCACATTAGTTCATTGATCAAGTATTAAAAAAAAAAAAAAAAAGGTTGATATAAGCATACAGATACTTGAGTGAATACAAAAAAGCTACCACACCTTTCGAATCAATCATTTACCCCCAAAAATTCTGTTATTGCTTTACAGCTGTCCCAATTTCCATAATCTATTCACATTCCAGGGAAATAAATTTTATCTGCTGGGTGTGAACTACAGGGAAGTTTCCAAGCAGGAAATGCAGATAAACCAGTCATGCACTGCGCTCGTGTTTGATAAACACTCACCTTCCGAAGACTTTTCAGACCAGGTATCAAGGACCTCCTAAATAACAGAGAACAAATGTTATGAGCTTAATATATTATGAAATGCGCTGAAGCTTGAGAATAATATATATCCGCCAATAGTAAATTAAGCATTAAAATCTACTGCTATAGTAACTTCAGTTATATTTAAAGTGGGTTAGACAGTGTTTTTCCTCAACAATGTGTTTGGTTTGAAGAAATGCTGGTATAAAAGCTGACCAGTGGTTTGGAATGAAGACAGAAGCAAAGAGACGCCCTCTTTTCTTGTTTTGGTAGTTTCGGTTCTCGTGCAGTTTTTATTCGTGGTGTGGAAACGAAACAGAACCATCAGAGGATTTTATAGCAGCAGATATGTGACTTTAAAAGACAAGCTGCTCATAAATCCATCTGCTGGCTGTGAACTTAAAAGAAACTTCAGCTTTTATGAGATCAGAAAGCAAACGGTAACACGCTTATTGGCACTGAAGAGGAGTTAAACCAGTGGCATGTGGGCTGTTTGATGACCATTTTCATGTTTTTTTATTAAAAAGTGAGTGTAACACAGTGACAGTTCTGTTCACAATATGATGATAAATTACACCTCTACTGTTCCTGTTCCCACCACATCGCCATTATTATCAGTATCAGACTCGGCTACAGTTTTGACTAATCATTAGCTATTATGGGCTTAAATGTACTTGTCAGCTGGAGTGCAGGGCAGCTAAACTCACTGTCACACTAGAGTTTAAGTTTCCCATGCAAGTCCATGAACAACACTGTAACATGTGCTGGACCACAGCTAAAAAGAAGACTGATTGTATTATTTGTATATAATACTTGTGTTAAAGTGACCTACAATACTTTCTTTTGGTTAAGTTTCATCCAGTCCATCATAAGTGAGTGGAACTTACCCTCTGCTTTCCTCCCGGTAGTTATCGAGGCCTTCATCGTACGACTTGGACCGCTCGGTTTTAGTACCAGAATCTGACTCAATAATTGTGAGACGGAGAGAATCTATTAAGAGAGGGTCACATAATTATTTGAAACTGTCCATAACCTCAGATTCAGCAGCTGACTGATGCTTTGACGTGGATAAACGTACCTTGGTCGTGTGACAGCTGGCGTCGGATGAGAGGTGACGGAGAGGTGGGGCTGGGCGGGATGGTGGTGATGATGGGCGTTGCGGATATCACAGCAGACGCAGTAATATGTGTGCTGTCCAGGTCAATACTGGGACTGGACGGTTCATCTGAGGACAGAAATGTGGGAACCGAGTTACAACAAGGGAAAACGACGCTGAATATTTTAGGTTAGATGAGATGGTTAGAGAAACATCTCCACTAATGACCACTGTGCAGTCATAGCCATAGAATGTATATAAAAGATGGAAACTGTAACGTCCCCCATTGGTTGGTGGACAACTTGTGAAGCTCTGAGTTTGGCATGTGGCTGTTTGGTTGTTTTTAAACCTGACATGACAAGAGAGAGTTGGATCTGACTGAAGAGCTTATCAGTCATAAGGTACATGCTTTATCACCTATTTAACTTTAAATATGACCATAATTGACATAACAGAGCATCATGCTGAACTGAAATAGACTTGAAACTAGCGATTAAGACCATAAACTCATTAGGTAAATTTTTTAGATAACAACTCAAGTAAGAAGTCGGCTCATTTTCTCATAGACTTAAGATAAGATTAGATAATCCTTTATTGCCCCCCACACCAGGGGGAAATTTCCATTCTTACAGCAGCAACATCTTCACAGCAGCACTAACTGCTTCTCCAAAGACTTCTACACAATTAGACTTATTTTTGACAACAAAAGAAGCAACCCCCGCCGGCCAATAAAAAAAAAATGCTAGACCCAGAAGCGACGTCCACCTTCTTTCATACATGTTCATAGCTTAGCAACTGTAACCAGGCTACACTTCTGCACATGCAGAGTCGTGGGCAAGGGGTTTGTAGTAAGAACCATGTAGTACATGGAATATAAAAGGCAGGCAGGTGTCTTTTTGTACCATAAATATAACACTAAGTTGTAAGGAATATATTAAATCATGTGGTTGTCTACCCTCACACAAGTTGGCATGTACGACTAATGAGTAAATGAGGCCAGGGACAGAAAGTAGCTTTCCACTATTTGATGTCAGAAGGTCTACTTTTTATTTGATTTATGAAAGTCAGACACATCCCTCAAAGTATCTAGTGAACTATGTAAGCAGCCAAAAATGGTTATATTTGAACAAAATAGGTATTTTCCATATTAATCTTTAATATGAATAATCGATGCTGACTTTCTGCCTTTAGCATGAAACGTTCCTGTCTGTCATACAGCTATCAACAGCTTATTGAGACCCTCATACAAGACTCTCACTGTAACAACAGCTGCCATTTCAGCAGACAGAATTGACAGGTTTCTAACATCAAGGCTCCACTGTATAAGAATCTCTAAAAATAAATTAGAGAAAGAAGAATTAGCTCCACTAAACTCATTCACCTTTGGAATTAAGCCAGCTGTTGGCTGCCACAGTAAACATACTGCCGATAAAAACATCAAAAAACCGACTCATCTCTGCAGTCTCAACATGTATAAACACTTCCAGCAGACAGTCATAAAACGCAGCGATAAGCTACGAAAGCAAAGTGATGCAGCCAGAGACGCAGTCAGCCATTAATGTAGGTGTTTCGTCCCTGATAAGCTGCCGCACACCTTTCCTTTTAAATACACATCTGCAGTCTTGCCGGCTAACATTACATCATTGCAGACGAGACTGTGTCATAACGTCTGATATGTGGTATCAGCGAGATGGCAAGCCCTAAAAACAAATTAGAGGAGATACGTGCGGTGAACAAATACTGCCAGTAATGAATCATATCGGCCAATATGGTGATGTAGAAAGGCAGGCGGTACCAAACAGCATATTACGCTCTTGAACACTGTTTTTACATGAGCAAACGCAAACTTGTTTAACCCAGCATTTCACACTAATAGCTTTTCAAATCATCATTGTTATAAATACATATCAACATGAAATGTCCCTGTTATTTCACCTCATGAAAATCCCCTTCATTACAAAATAAAGTACCAGGTTAAAAATAACAAGCGCAAAAAAAAGATCTAAGAGATTAAATTCCTCTCGATGCAAATGCACTGTTGCAAGTCATGTACTTTCAATGGCACAATTTAATATGAAACATCTGATCTGCTTGTTAGCCGGGTACTGCTGTGAAATCTCTCTCTCCCCTCAAAGCTCAAGAACATCTCCCATGACACTGCAAACCTCATTTCTGCCGAGCCAGCCAGATGCCTATTTCATTTAATCACTTGTTTATATACCTCTAATTCAGTTTCTGGGAAGATCGAGGCAGCCAGCGAGATTTGACACACTTTATTTTTGGGTCAGTTTTAGACCTGAAGATTGATGTAGGTTTAGACGGCAGGAGAACAATGAAGATCTATAAATCTTTGAGGGAACAGTTACAGATTTACACTAAATATGAACTTGAAGGTGGTTAGCTTAGCATAAAGACTGGCTAAAGGCATCTGTTAAAAAATAATACAATTCTGACGATGTGGATTTCTTTGCTGGGTGCAGAGGTTATGTTTTTTGGGACTTATCGGTTTCATGCTTCACTTTTTGTACAAATTAAACAACATAAAACCTGCTGGCTGTAGCTTAATATATAACGGACAGACTTGAGAATGTTATCAGCTTTAAATATACAGTTGCTCCCTCATAGTCTGCCCAAACACACAGACAAAAAATCAACAATCTTGCTTTATCAATATGAAAAAGGACAGATTGTGTTAATGAATTCCCTTCACACCTTGAAAAAAAACGACTCTCACTGGCGTTAATCAAACACTTGAAAGTGCTAAAACCTAAATCTAATCTAGATGTAAATGCAGTGAGTTAAAAGGTGAGAGCTGAGGAGTGTTTGTGTGCACGGAGGCAAGCGCTGCTGGAAGAGGATATGATTAACCCCTGCAGTTTCTGGGACACTGACAAATATAAGAGCTGCTCTCATTGGACGGTAATGAGTCACCGATGAAGACGCAACTGAGGATGCAAGGTCGAGTTCAAGCTTGTCAGCCTCTGAAGTTGGCAGAGATGTGAAAAGACAGCAGACGAGGCTTGATTTCGAACGCTGCGACGTGTAAACACAGCTCGCTTCAACTCTGACACATCTGGTGTTTCGGAGGAAATACATAACTAAACAAGGATCATCATAAACAAGAGGGGACGTGACATTTAGCCCGTACTTAAGCAGCACCAGCTATGTTCTGTTCCCAGCACAAAATGTTTGGCAGGCAGCTAATGTAGAGCAGTTGTTCCACTTATTGTTTGGAAGCGCACTATGAAATCTAATTGAAGCAGATTGCTGCAGGAATGCTCTTATTTCTCTGTTATGTCACAGTCCATTAGGACGATGTTCTTGGGTTTCTCTCTCTGTGCAACACTGGGGGGAAATATGAGATGTTTCAGGGATTGTGTATGTAGAGGAGGGGGAGTGTATTGACTTGGAGAGCAGCTTTGTGAGTGTGTGTGTGTGTGTGTGTACCCAGTGACTGTATATTTCTGTGCTGCCTTCCTCAGATGCCAAAGGGTGGTTTGAATACGTCATGGTTGCCTGCAGTCCAGTGTCACGTTGTCACATAATCACACACGATGTCATCTCGAGTTCAAAGCGCCTCAAGGAAACATTTTCTTTTGACGTTTGAATGTCTGTGTGACATTTCTTTCTTGTGTAGTGGCCAGTATTCATGAAGTGACACTACCTTCATGATGTGGATTAATTTGGATCAGTGCTTTTGACAAAATTCTGAGGGTATTTCCCTATCATGGCTTGATTATGCGAGAAGGCACAGTATTTCCTTGACTATAACTGAATACAAAAGACTTCCTTGTAGTAGGAAAGTGAGGCAACAATGTAGGCTTACACTTGATTTTTGAAGCATTTTTTGTGATTAAATGCGAGACGGGAACTTGGGGTTGATTTAGTGATCTGGTTTTCATGGAGATGGGAGAGTTTACTGTAGTTCTTTGTGTCCATAAAACAGGGAGACATTGAAAGTGTGACCACATTAATGTCCCCATGTAGCTAATGCTGACCAAAACCCAAGCCACTTCAACCCTCTGATTCCAAAACCAGCTGGTGGGTTTGAAAGACATGTTATCTTTGAAAAACGGTGCCTGTTTGGCCTTTTTTTGTTTTAGAGCCAGAAACTGTAAACACAGAAAGAATTGTTGGATATTCAACTTTGACTCCTTGTCTTTAAATCTAAGTTTAAAATTGTGATAGTTTATCAAAATCACTTTATTCTACATGTCTTACTTAAAAAAGAAATAGCTTGCTTTAACTGGATTTTGTAAAGAACAAAAAATTCAGTGACTCAGTTGTGATGAACAGTCATGTGACAAAAATTCAGGGACAATTCAGCTGAACTGCAGGCTGTGTTAACATAGATGAGATAGGAGGAAAGTAAAGGTACTATCTGAAAATCTAAGTAATAAAATATTTACAGCATGTAGATCTACCCATTTTATTCAGAACTGGTGACATCTGTGGGCAAAAAAGCTGTACATGCTGATTCTTGGTCGTTTTAGTTTTTTCAACTTTCAAAGAAAATCAACTTTCAGTTTTTCTTTTATATTGATTTATCATAACTTTGTCATACTGTGCAAGACATTTTTGAGTTCCCTCTACTTCTAGCGATGGTTGTGCCATTTCCAGAGGAGCTGGACTTTATATTACTGTGAAAAATGAGCACACAGTGACGGGGGTAAAAAGACAGTGCTTGGGATTCAAAGGGTTAAATTGTGGATATAAATGCAGCTAAGAGTATATGTTACACTCTGAACTCAACAGCCCAGCTACTATCTGACATTTATACCTTGACTGCAGAAAATGGCACGTCATAGCTATGAAACTGCCTCTAGCAACAGACACACACTTTGAAACTGCTCTTCAATTCCTTTCCCATGAGAATACAAGATCGATCAGAGCATGTTAAACTTTTATTGAATTTTGCAAAGAAAATACTATTTAGGCAATAAAAATAATGCCTATTTCTAAAACTGAACTAGGTATCATTTAATTTTTTTAATACTACATAGAATAAATGTTATATTTAAGAAAAAGAGCCAAACTCTAAATGTATCACGATTCATTTCTGTCTTTGCAGCAGCAGCAGCAGCAGCTTTGGAAGGACATTCTCTAAATAAAACAGTCTGCATTTCCTGATCTAGATCAGGAAGTATCAGATCAGATAATAAGTAAACAAGACGCAGAATCTGACTGAGGATTTGAAGCTAACTTTTCACTATGTGAAAGAACATTTACAAATCAGCAATATTTACACTAAAAGGAGTGTTAATTTATTTCTTGATGGCTCAAGAGTCAACCAAGCTTTCATGCATAAACATGCCTTGTCACTACCACATGCAGTGTCATTTTTTCACAGGACTCCCATGCCATTGTTGTTGCCATAGAAACAGGATAAAGCAGAGAGAATGAGTGGAGTCTTACCTATGAAGGGGATTGAATCTAGGGAGTCATCCAGGTTATTGGAGCCGGATTTTTGCCGTGTGTCTCCCAGCCTCCTTAGATGCATCTCCCTGCAGCTGTCATTAGACATCCAGTACATCGCTCCATCTGCAGAGCCTGCCTTCACCAATGGTGGTGACTTGTGAGTCACTCCTCCCTGGTTGTCATTAACAGCTAGTACGTAGGACGGAGGGCGAATGTGAGCGGATGCAGAGTTTTTGTCCCTTCTTAGGACCACAACCGTTGCGTCAGGTCCTTCTACACCCTCTGCAAGGCCGCCATTAGTCCGTACAAGTGCACCGGTGGAACTAGAGGTTTCTCTGACCTTTGGCTTTTGGCTCAAGGCTCCGTTGGTGGTGGAGGAACCAGAGGAAGCGGTGACAACTCCGCTTTGTAGTTGTCTCTGCATGGGCAGTTTAGAGGAAGGACCAGAGCAAGAGGAGGACCTGGCTGCCAACCCAGCTTCTGACCTGCTCTCCATTTTCAGACTGTCTGCCCTGCCCCTCAGCTGGAGGTGCAGAGGGGAGGAGTAGCCCAAGTGGTTGCCTATGATGTTAGCTCTTTGGTCTTTAAGAGGGTCTGTGGTTTTAGTGGAGGATAAGGCAGGTGAGGGGTCTGAGATGGAGGTTTTGACAGGCAGACGCGATGGCCTCATTATGAGACCGTCTGTCCTTGATGGTAGTGCAGAATCCGTCGTACCTTTAGTAAACACAGGAGCAGCTAAAGGCGAGTTAGATAATCCACTTCCTCGTCTTTCCTCCTCCTGTCCATTGAGACTCCTGTTCAGATGAGGTAAAGCTCTCAGGCCTGCTCCTTGCCTGCTAGCTCTGGCTTCCTCTCCACGGCTCAGCAGCAATCTGTCCTCAAACCCTGTCCTGTCTACAGAGAAAACCCCTCCTGGCTCTCCAGGCTGCTGGCCCAAGTAGTCGCAAGACCTAGCCCGAGGTTTGGTGACTCCCGTCGGGGTGGAGAAAGGTAGAGCATCCTGGGAAACGCTACGGGGCCAGTTCCTTGTCGTTATTGTCCTCTCTGCTCCACCTCCTAGCCTCTCCTGGGAGACGCTGCGCAATGGGGTTGTCACCGCAGTACCCTGACTACTTGCATCCACTCCACGGTCATTGGATGCGCTCCTCCGCCTCAGCTGGGAAGCCCCCCGCTGACTGGTACAAGGAGGAGGCGTTGTACGTTGCTGGGCGTAGGCAGAACTGGAATTGGCAGCTGCTCGCAAGCTGTCCAAGCGCTCCTGGATGGTGCGGCAGCCATACGTGTGCAGCCTCTTGGCGTCAATATAGTCCTTATAGGTGGTGTAAGTTCTCCAGTCAATGTTCTGGTGTGGAGAGGTGGAAGGGGCTGTGGGGGACGGCGAGTAGTGGTTGGAGCTGGGTGAGACGGCAGTGGAGAATGTGTCTGGTGAGGCAGCGTTGGGGGCCCGACCAGCTGGAGATAAGGTGTCAGAATAGATAGCACCAGGTCTAGAAGTTGAGGAAGGGGAGTAAACTGGAGTTTCTGTGGGGTGGGAAGAGGGGTATTGCAACTGTGCACCCCCAGGTACTGAGGGAATAAGGGGTCTGGGTCGAGCTGAGCCAGAATCCGCTGACGGACCGTACCGGTTTTCCTCCGTCCTGTGGCTGGGTCCAGCCCGAGCCACCCGAGACCCCCTGTCAACTGGATCAGGGGGCATGGCCACCGTCCTCACGTTCTCATTACAGACACACACCACCGTTTGAGACTTTGACGTCTGCTGGGGTGGAGGAGACGGAGGAACAGGGATTTCCACTCGATAGCTCTTCTCCGTGGCCCCCCCTCGCCTTCCTGGTCCCTGCACCGGCCCTCTGGGGGTCTCGCTGACTGCGGCAGGCTCCGATGACTGCGCCATGCCCGCAGCCTTAACCTCTATCCGAGGGTAGCATATGGGAGGAGGCTCGGGGATGTTCTGGGCATTTCCGCTGTATGCCTCATTTCCTTTGAGGTATGCATCCTGGGAATACGCCTGCAAGAGATCATAGGACATTATGTCACTTCTATTGCCAAGAGGTTCAAGTGCTAAAATAGATCACGTTTAACCTAGAGAGATCACACCTAGCCAGGGACAGGATATATTAAACTTTCTTCGAGGGCATGCATGCAGCAGGGAGTGCTGCAGAGCTACTGTAAAAGCTTTTGGACACAAAAAAATGCTGCAAATGCAAATCCAAAAATAGCCAAAAAAACAAAGCAAAGAGTGTTCTATTTATGTTTACCACTGTCACCTCATTTCTTCACTTTTCCGGATGAGAAGCTACAACTACAACACCTGTCACAAATCAGCTGAAAATATCTCATCTGCACAAAGTGGATGCTCGTGTCTTAAAACTGGAAAAAGACTGATAATCTGTGAGGGTCATTAAATGACAAGAGTCTTTGAGAGAACAGATAAGATTATCATCAAGACAAACATAACTGCTGCATTATCTCAGCGAACTGTAAGTGACAGATGGATTCAGCTTGTCTATAACGATGCACGAGCAGCAAGCCAAAAGCAGACACACTACTCCGCCAAATCAAATACAACTCCGGTAACAGTTCCTCAATCTTTTCCTAGGAGATGGTAAACAAATGTTACGGTGTGCCATGATACAAATTAACTCCCCTGAGAAGCAACAGATGTGGGTAAGTGGGAAAATAGTCTGCCAGAGAAGCAAATAAGAAGCGAAAGAAAGCTGGAAAGTTCAGAATAAAACCGTGGAGCCAGAGTGAGGATTAAGCTGGCAGGATCTTACCCACCTTTGGTACCGGCGAGTGTGCCCTGAGGCATGAGGAGAGGGTGAATGGGGGTCTCCTCTGTCTGCTCTTGGCACCTAGCGCTATTTCTGTCAGCATGGCTCCGCAACTCGACTGTCACTGTGGCAACTAAGGTACTTTCCTCGATTAAAATTAAAAGAAAAACACTTTGCTAGTTACAACTCTGATCACTCTTGAGTGAAGTAAAACCACGAACGGCTTCAGAGAAAACTCCCGGCTGCATACTGAACGAGTTGTGTTTCCACATCCTTTCAGCGCACTCTCTCTTGAGAAAATGAAGGGGAGAGAGTTGCGGCGTTGGACTTTAATCGATAGCACTCCACCTGAGGTGTCAGGTTTCAATTGCATCAACAGCAGCGGCAGCAGCACATCTGCTGTTGGGTGCCTCCCTCTGGATCTACATAAGTCGTACAAGTTAAACAGAAACCAATTTCCTGATTGTGGAAAGTACAGACAGAAATGCAAGAGGTCTGCTGACAGATTATTTCAAAGCGTTTGTTTTTCTAGTGCTCACTTTTTCCCCTCAACCTGTAATTCAGGAAAATTCTAAAAAGGGGGAATATATTTGGGGTTTTAGGTGGTTGCCTTCAGAGCTTGTGCAAACACAAGCTCTGAAGGTGCTGAAACATGTCAGAAAAGATGTGAATCACCAGGAAAGTGATGAGTTAGTATGGTTTCCCTTCTTACCAGAGCAGTGATATCCCTGGAAAACTGCAGTCCACAGGTTAGATAAGGGCAAGCAGAGAGAAAAAAAGGGAATAAAGAGAAGTAAACAGGTGAGCATAAAGAGGTAAAGAGGTGCAACGCCACCAATGGAGGGCTAAAAATACATCCGGCTGTGGGACTGCTGAAATCACAGTCAGAGTGGAAAAATAAGAAAGCAGAAGAGTGAAAGTGAGCTCCAGCAGTGCTGTTGCCTGTTTGGTATCCTTCCTGAGCTGCTGTTCTTCCTCCTATTTCGTCCTCTTACCCTCATCCACCTCTGAAACCAGCACAGCTGCTGTCAGAATACACAAGCAAATGTATTCTGCTGGCTCTTTTCTCCCTCCACATACTCTGCATTTCTTTCCTTTGCTCTGTCACTCTCACCTGGCGGTACCTCCCCTCCCCCTCTGTGGTTCCTCAAGCATTTCGTCGCACTTGCACTCTCCACGCTAGCCTCTCTCCTCTTCTCTGTCAGCTTCTCTCGCTCATGTGTCAGATGCTGCTCTATCATATGTTCTCTTTTGGGGCGAGCGTGACGGCACGCTTGCTTGATCTGCACTAGCTTCCTCCCTGTAAACAGTGTGCTGAGAGGAGTCAGCTGACTGCAGCTGCACTCCCTCTGGTAGTGAGTGGGCTCGATGTCTCCCAAAACACACTGAAAAACAGACACATGCACGTTTATTGATATCTGTGTCCATGAATAGGCCACTTTATGCCTCCATTTGTCAAAACAAACTGATATCGATCTAACAGTCTTAATGTGAGCTCCACAGCAATAATTAAGTGAATTTTATGTATAATCAGGACAGAAGGTTACACAGAGGGCGCATCAAATTAGATATTTAGAACAAGGACTTCTGATTGTTAACAATCAAGTGGAAAATGTGGAAAGACCAGAGAGATATATTTGCTACTTAAATCACATCTTATGATACAATCCTTAAGCCTACTTTTTAAACAGAGGCAGATCATGGCTACACACAAATCTGTCCCGTGGCGGTCAGGATCTTAAAATTTGTACAGAAAAACAACAATCCATCACATCATGTCAAACTTTGAAATTAATTTTGACTCTTGTTTTCCTCAACGAGGAGAAACCACTAATTGTTTTTATTTGAATCCCCCAGCCTTGTGAGCGCTCAGACGCATTCCAAAATGCCAAAAGCAAGTTTCTGTGGCTTTTGGTGGAACGGCCGCCAAGCTAACAGAGCTATGTGAGGAATTTAGCAACACAGTGGGATCCGACTCCGTTCTCTGCTTCAGGAGAGAGTTTCCCAAACGGAGGTGAGAAACGTGTGGCGACTGGTTTGATGTGACTTGGCGCTATTTTATCGTCTGTGGGGCTCTGGACCCTGACCGACGGCGTGGGCCGGCTGTTTGCGTCACTGGACTGATCGGCCCGATCAGCGGGAGGATGTGAAGCTGTGATATGGAGGCTAGCTTTGCTCCTCTAATATTAGGTTCACATTTTTGAAAACTGGCCCACAAACATGAGGCAATCTATACCGGTCATGAGGATCAACATCAGAAAAACAGGATCTGTGGGTCAATCCTGTGACTGTATTCTACGAACACACTGTTCCAAATCTCGACTCTGAGCTCAGTCCAGATTATGTGAGCTGGTTATGATTCCTTCTAGCATCTACAGGAAGATAACCTGCAAAGATATGGGCATCTTGTCGACACTGAAGGTGCTTTTGATTATGCTACCTTATGCTTCCTCGTATCCTCTTTTCTGCTGAATATCGTTTCCCCTCAACCATCATGGAGGATCTTTTGATGACATAAATACATCTCAAAAGAGTCAGGAGGCTTTGGGAGGAGCCGAGATCACAGAATCACAGGTGTATCCTTTGTGGAAATCTTAACTCAAGTGGCATGGCGTACAAATGTGGCGCTTTTGTGGGTTTTAGTTCATTCTAACAAGCGATACAGCTGTGCAGCATGCCACAGTTAACTGATGAAGCTTAAAACTAACTCCTCTGTCCTTGCATCTTCGCTTCAAGAAGCCAAAACATGAGAAAAAGACATGAGTAAGGGAAGCGAGACGACACATTCACATAATTGAAAAGCGCCTTTGTTTCTATTTTTGATGGGGAAAATTCTCAGACAGGAGAAGTCTTTCATTGCAGGAAGTTTTCTGGGCTATGCTTGTTCTCTCTGATATGCAGTGTAAAATTTTGGTAAAAAAATATGCTATTTTGCTTTGCTTACACGAGTAAATGGAGAAAACAAACATCCACCTCATGTCTGTTTTAAAAAATAATTCCAACTTGTTTTATGTCCCATTAATGTGGATATTGCAGCTCCATAGATCACACTAGCTTTGAACTCTAGAGTGGCTTACAACAGCTTTGAGCAACCAGGCCGGCCCTCTGTAGTTTAGCAAAAACTGAGATTTCTACATAAATGATTTTTAATGTTTGCTTTCAAGTCTGATGTAAAGTAAATCCAGAAAGTGGCCACCTGGTACAACCACTTCTCTAACTGTGTTCACCACGGACGGTTGCGCGCCAGTTTGTTTACATACATGAGGTTGTGAATTCCTTTCTGTTAGGAGTGTCTTCATACTTTTAGAGGTAGTAACATAACAGATGATCTGGTGTGTGTATGCAAATGTCCAGATTGCAAGAATACAATGATATGATAACAAGAGACTCCGGTTGTGGGTGGTGGCTCTGCAAGCACGTGTCAGGGAACTCTACCTCTTCATCCCTGCAGTGCTGGTCAGGACCTTTAAGGCTAGTTACCAGCTACAGACCAGGCTAGAGTAGAGACACTTAGCCTTACCACAGGTAGGAGCCACAGAATTGCAAAGGTTACACTCGGCTCCCTACAGGCTTGCTAATAATTTATTTAAAGAGTTGAATCTCTGAGATTGACAGCGTTGTGTTATGAGGTGAAGAAGATGGAGCTAGCATGACCTGTTGATCCATAATAATGGCAAATAAATCAGAATCTCTTAATCCTAAGTACAGGATTTATTTAGCTTAGCTTAGCATAGTGCCTTGAAACAAAGAAAAACAGCTACGATACGTAAACAAATGTAAAAGTATTACTTTGTGGTGTTTTTTTGGCAGAACAGTGATTCTGTGCTGTCTTTTCACCACAGTAAAAGAGAAGAAAAAAATGCAATTTCAATAAAAAACCTCATACTGTAAATATAATTCTCCTGTATTTAAAAAAAATGGTGCAAATTATCTCTGTAGATGTTTACAAATGGCACATTTTTTCACACACTTGCAATATTTACTGATAAACGAATGCTTACCAGCTGCAAAATGTCCTCATCCTTTGGCATCACACAGAGTTCCAGTGAAGCATCACTGACGGATGGCGAAAATGAGACAGAGAAAGAAGGAGACTGTTGTAACACACGGTTCAAACTGGGGATACTTCTCAAGAGAATGCATGTCTAGGTATGAGACATATAGCTCAATAGCTGCAGTCTAATGAAGTGTGAATGAGTGTGTGCGTGTCGGTGATAAGGAAACGATAAGGGAAAACGTGTTTCTCAATGACTTAGTCTGCTTTTCCGTTATTCGACCACAAACATGCAGCGAAAAGATTAGATCTTCTGAGTCCGTCAGAGTTTCATTCGTGGCATATTTCCCTTAAAATGAGCCATGAAATTAAATGTGGAGTGATGGCGATCTCACCTGTTCTGGATCAAGGCTATGACTTGCGAGTAGGTCTTTCCGATGATGCTCTCTCCGTTCACTTTCACTATCCGATCCCCTGGACAGAATCAAGAGAATAATTTACCAGCCTGCTATTTATTGCATACAGCAGCACGTGTCTCTTGTTTAAAAAAACAACAACCTGAAATCCAGTCAATATGATTATTGACCAAAGAAAACCACTCTGGAGCGACTCCCTCCAGCACAAACACGGATTTGTGTTTAGATCAAAGGAGAATAGTAACACAAAGACGTGTTTATTTTCAAGACCTCCTGTTAGGATCCATCTCCATTCAAGGTTTCTGAAGATGGCCATCTTACAGGAAGAGAGGCGAGGTGCGTTTAGGGGAGAAACTAGATAATTGTGGGAAAACAGTGCACTCCCCTGTCCCAGGAGAAAAGAGGAGAGCAAACAGATAAAAGCAGACAGCTTAGAGGGCTTGTCCAGACTGCTTAACATTTCCTGTAATAGAGTGCTAACCTGGCAATAACGCTGACAGCACAGAGCTTCAGCCATCACCTCATTTCAGGGAAAGAGCTGATTTTTTATTTTTTTTTCTCCAGAAGGGAGGTTGTCTAAGTATTTTTATCCTTGCTGCTTTAAATTAGATATGATTCACGTATTAATAAGAAAAGATAGAGAGCGGGAGATGTAGAAAAACAGGATTCAGGCTGGAACAACAGCGTGCCGATTACACTTTGTTCAACCTCCCACAAAGGAGCCATCTGTTTTGCAACTCGTATCTGTTTTGCCTGGCAGTTTACAAGGAAGCAGAGTTACCTACAGTACAAACGTGAAGAAATCTTGGCATCGAACTGAGGTCAGATGTGAGACAGTCAGAGTTAATCATAAGATCTGCCGGTTATCACAAGCAGCACGATGCTGTGTGTGCGTTAGCTCGCTTGTGTGTCAGTGTGTGCGCGTTTGTGTACCTGTACAGAGTCCAGCTCCGTGGGCGGGGCCTCCCTCCTTCACTTGCTTGACGAAAATGGTGTCCATTGGCTCCAGACGGTTCCTCTGTCTCCCTGGCAACGAGAGAGAGAGAGAGAGAGCACACGCACCGAGGCGATTGGTCACACAGTGAGGAAGAGACATGGAGTCACAACTAGGACACACTGCACCGGAACGGCCGGGGACATATTACAGCTTCAAGTGCAATATTCTGCAGTTTTTCCTGATTACTCCTTGTTGGTTCTACTTATTTTCTCACTTCATGTTGAATGCAATAAAACTGTGCAAATGAAGAGAATTTTCTGGTTTTGAAAGATTTTAAAAAAAGGGGAAAGTTGCAGCAAAATGGGAAGTCCAAATTATGTTTAATCTGAAGAAATCAACTTAATTATTAGAGCTAAAATGATTATCTGTGATTGCTGCGTTAAACACTTAAATTACTTTTAATTAAACATTACCGAGTTTCATGATTCTAAACTTAATGTCTGGATTATGGACTTGGATCTATGGGCACTTTCTGCAATTTGCTAACACTTTAGCCCAAAGGAATAACTGATGAACTGAAAAAATAGTCAGCAGATTGATCCAGAACAAAAATGACACATAGGCAGCCCTAATAAGGATGTGCATTTTCCTCCAGTGGCGTTAGTTATATTGGAACAATTCAAGTGTTTGTGGCCAGAATGTGAAGCTCTTTTGATTTGTCTCATCTAAAGATCTAAAGCAAATATTTGTATTCGTGATTATGGCCCTCTACGGCTCTATCGTGGTGTTAGGGCGCCTGCTGTTTGGGCCGTCATGTGTTGTGGTGGATCCCTTGTGGACACTGTAAAGGGAGAGGATGTGGCGTGGTATCTGTGGTAGCTGGCTGGAGAGCCTGCTCCAGCCCCAGCTGCCAGTCATTGCAGCTAATTAGCCTGGAGCTCCAGACCTGCACTCCAGCCCTTGTTGTCCCCGCCTGCCATTCCTGATTGGACCACCACCCAGTCCCCTCCACCCTCAGCCAATCCAGCTGCAGCAATCAACACACCTGGACTATAAATCAACCACCGACCTCTCAGTCAGGGCGGCTGGGGTTTAATGTGAACAGGTTGCTCTGATGTCTCCTGTGTCTGTGTCATTTGTGTGAAATTGTAACTTCTGTTGAGAGCTGCTAACTTAGTGTTGAAGCTACCCGAGTCTTGGTGAAGACTGTAGCTTCAGTTAGCAGCTGCCCACCTCCGTTTAGAAGTTACTCGTGTCTTGGGGTTTTTGCAATGTGTGTTTTGAGGCACTTGTTTTAGATTTTTCTTTCGGGAGTTTAGCTGTTTTTGTTTAGATAGTTTCTTTAACTCTGTTAGCCTTCGTCTGGTTTTATTTGGTTCTTTGATTCAGCAGCAGCCATTAGCCCGACTTGTTTGTATGATCCCAGTTTTTTTGTGTTCATTTACGTTACTGAGCAATAAATTGCTTTAGCTCAACCAATTACCCCTGGTTTTTGTTACATCCAGTTGACCCTAGAGGCTGGATCGTAACACATGAAACACATGCAAAATCATTTTGCTCTTCCAGTACTTCAAAAACAAAAAAGTCTCCCTTTACTCATGATTCAATAATCAATATTTATGGTCAGTTCATCATAGACAGTGTGCATCTAACAGTTATTTCATTAATAATGAAGTATTTTCAGTTAGTCTTTAAGTCAATGATGAAAGACTTTGAATGTACCAGAATTAAAAGTGATGTCTTAAGGTGTCTTCTGTACCAGCAGTCCAGTCAAAGAAAAGCACACGAGAAGCTACAACATAACACGTTTTGTACGTTTATTTAAATGATTGCCTACTGATTCTGCCAATTCAGCTCTGCACGAATGCATAGAGAATTTCTATTTCTCACATTTATTCCTGCATCAACAAAATGCCTCATTTTCAGTTCAGATGAGCACTACTGTTGTCTTTTCTAAATCAACACACTCAGGCTCTTCCTCAGCAGCTTTAATTAAACACAAAAGCTCATCTACTGTCTTGTAAAAATGACTCCAGACACTGTGCATCGGTCTCGCTACCACGTCCTTCCATTGACTGGGGACAGCGAGGAGAGGTCAGAGTGTGCTGACACGGCTGCATGCAAACAATCCACATGAGGGTTTGGTTTCACATGGCAGGGGACGAGCCATCATGCCACGTCAAGTGCAATGAGGCAAGTTAGTGGAGCAAATGCAGCTCATTCACAGTCTGTGTATGATCATTATTATCATTTATAGTATGTATATCTAAGAAGTAGATGCAGCAATTATGCATGTGTATATGAATAAACTCACTGAACCTCAATCTGAGCTGCCCACAGGCTTCGAGGAAGTGCAAAATCAGAGCATCCCACTGTTCTTTCTTCAGGGAACACTGACGATGTATGCATGCTCTTTTAATGAGTGCCCTGCCTCGAGTTCACACAGCAGATATATGCATTTACTTGCCAGAGGTTAGTTAGACATTCAGGATTCTGTAGAGCGCCCAGCAGCTGGACTGGAGCTGATGTGGATTCAGTTTGTAGCTAAAGACCAACTTCAAAGGTGGGGAAAGGTTTCTTGGGTTTACACAAGTTGGATCAGGATCCAAACCTGTAACATTATATGTGGTCCTAAACCATTTCTTTCCCCCTAAAATCCTGACTGTTGCCAGATCTCAGGCATACATTGTGGAATTCCTACTGGGAGGAAGCATGCAAATGTTTCCAGCACGGGCTGTTGTAATGTAAGTGTCACCTTAGATGTCCTCTTTCCTTGCAAGTCAGCAAATCTAATGCATTTACGATTTGCACTAAAGCTCTCCACTACCGCCCCCCTGTGGCTGAAAGCGTTACTGCAGAGGATTAACATTTATGACATGCAATGTTTTGATTCCAGATTATCTGTTTGATAGTATCTAATAAAAGGAACAACATCAACAAAGACAGTTTAAATTACATCTGCCTGATTAATGTCAAACACTCTGCATCATTTTTGTGAAGCTTAAATAAACCAGTCAACACCAAAGAAGCGGTTAGAAAAACAGTCCTGCAATCTCAAAGGTCACTGATTTGATCCCCTCCACAGCCAGTGGAAGCATTAAGTGTCACCAAAACCTGTTTATTCACTCTGAAGTCAACATCAAATACACTCTACAGTTTGACTGACAGCAGCTGTAGGCCTGTTTTTGATCCAGTAGAAGGCAGCAGAGGCTGTAAAATGACTCTTCCTCCAGGTACACAGTGAAATTGTTAAGGTCATCTCTGTATTTACACTCTTGTGCACTCAGGTTATGATCTTATTAGATTATCTGGAGGGCTCGCATAAAACAAAAAACGTGACCTTCTGCAAGTGGCTCCATTACAGCAGGGCATAGAGCGCGATGACAACCTGCAGTGATATACAACCGAGGACACGGCTGACCCGTGCTGTAGGTACAGATGTCATCCAGCGCTCCCCTCCCCTCTCTACTAGGCGGATTCCCAATCCCGAGCCAATCTCACCGAGCTCCAACTCTGCAGCACAAATTGGATTCTGCAAGTTTCCATGCCCTGCAGCTGGATGAACAGGATTAAATGTGGAAATCTAAAGCTTTGGATATTTTTAATGCTCCCAACTGTCTTAGCAAAGCATAAACTACCGTGTGGATTAATGAAATACATCAGCCTGCCTCAAAATGACCTCAGCTGCTCCAAAACACGGAATGAGAGCTGAATAACTGTAGCTACTCTTGGGTGGTATTTGAGGAAAATATTTCACTGGCCGACGAAACACTTAATACTCCACGCTTATAAAAATTCACTTCCCCCTTTTACATCACAGTGAGCAGGTCTTGGACTAGAAGTGTATTTAAATAACTGTAGGTATTTATTGTTCAAACTGCAGTGGGCAGCAGATCGATTACAAACACCACATCGACACCACTCTGTGAATGATTATGCAAGTTACTAGTGTAGTAAACTGCAAATAAATTCATTTTCTATGGTATTTTATGGCTGCCTCACTTATTTATGTGGTGAATTCTTTCTCATTTGCTTCCTGAGTGGGAAAATATTCTCCAGCATGTGTCTTTCTGTCATAACTGAGCCTTAAAGAAGTTGCAGATAGATTTTAAAACGTAGTGCTGCGATTTGTGTTCCAACCCAGCCGTTACAGTAATGACCCATTAATATGTTGATTCCTTCTAATTATCTTTTTGTTGATAGGAAGCTATAAAACATATAATTTAATTAACCTGAGCTTCAGATGATGCTCTCAAATGCTAGCAATGCAAAAAAAAAGCATCAAAAGCCCACATTTAAGGTGCCTGAAGCAGAAAATATTTTGCATGTTTGCTTGAAAAATATCTTCAAATGATTAGTCAGTAACTAAAATATGACAAAAATGTAATTACTAATTGAGAAATCCAGTTCAAGTCTTGCTATTTAAATGTGATTAGTGAATTTTAGTTGGTTTCTACCACATTTTTCAGAGGATGTTACAAACTACAGGAAGGTAGAAATGCTTATATGTGCCTGTAAACATGTACACAAACCGCTGTATCTGTGGTGCCTTTTTATCTGGATTCTCTTCTATCGGCTCATTTGTTTGAATGTTTGAACCTAGATCTAAACGCCTGATGGAGGCTGCAAATTAGCTTTAGCGAGACGCCTTATATACACTGCAGCTGCTGTATTGCTCAACAGTGTTTATCTGTTTGGTCCCCGATAAAGGAACACACAGATATCAGCTCAAGTATCAGCAACATATGCATATTTCTGGTCCAGTCTAGCAGTTCACGGGGCCTCGTACTGGCGTGCCTGAGTGTCAAGCGCTGCTCTGTGGCCTCCACAAGCTCTGGTTTGGCTGTCGTCCCCGGCTGCACAGCTGGGCCTGGTTGTGTGGGCCAGCTCCCCGCTCCCCCGTTGTTTTGGGTTAGATAATGTTATTCTACAGAGGGCTGGGCCTGCTGCCCACTCACTGCATTAACCCTGCCGTAATACCTCTGTCCAACTCGCTGCTTCTCACCATTTGTGTCACTCTCACATTTACAAGCCACCACACCCACATGCAAACGTCCGAACGTACAAAAATACACACAAACCTATGCAG